TTAATAAATACATTTTAAATAAAATTAAATAAAACTATTCTGTATTATTTGATAATTCTTATTTATTATGAAGCATTGTTTTTATGTAGGCAGCATATATTTTGATTGATCTTGAAAACTAATCTGGTTAATCTTTCATTGGGAGAAAATTCTGAGGCTAGACTGAGAAGTTCGGGGGAAAAAAGCTTTCTGTATTATTTGAAGAATATAATATGGATATGTCCGTGAGGTCACTAAGAGTTGAGCTCAAATAAGTGATTTTCTTTTTGTTTCTTTTATATCTCCTTACATGCATAAAATATTAATCCATTGAAATCCTTTGGAAGTCATCTTTTTTTTGAAGATCTAATGATGACTGACATTATTAACATAGTTACATTGTTATAGTTTTATGATGAGCAGGTAAAAAACAAAATATGTGTATATCCGCTTACTGTTTGAATATTGCGCAGAGAAATGACCGTGCAGTTTGCACAACTTTGTAATCCTGCATATTTGTACTTAATTTGTACTGGTATTATAAATACAATACATTTTCTTCATTAAAAAGAACTAGTTTTGTTTCAGAACAATGTACAAATAATCCTTAACTTACGACCGGTTATTTAATGACCATTAGAAGTTATGACAGACTAAAAACCTATGACCGATTCTCAGAGTTACAACTGCCACCCCACCCCACAGCCACATGATTGCATTTTAGGCCCTGGGCAGTTGGCTCGAATTTATGACTGCTTGCAAGATTCCCTGGTCACGCAATCACGTTTTGCAGCGTTTTCGCTGTTTTACAGCAAAAAAAAGCCCATTGGATAAGCTGAATGAGGACTTACAACCATGTGATTTGCTTATTGACTGCAGTGTCTCACTTAATGACCTTTATAAAAACGATCATAACATCGCATCTGTTCACACGGTGACTCGATTTACAACCGCAACAACTTACAACCAAAGTTCTAGGTTGAATTGTGGTCACAAATGAAGGACTATCTATACTACTAGTAGTTTTTTTTACTTCCCAAGTTTATTATATCTTGATATTTAAACTTTAGGCAGAGGAAAGAGAGAGAATGAAGATCTGTCGATGGCGATATTCTGAGAGGACCTATTAGGAACCTGTTTAAATTTGTCTCCATCCTTTTTGTTGTTGCCTTTAGGAATGGGCATGCTCTCCTTGCATTCCTCTTTTCACGTCAGGAAGGAAAACTTAACCGTCAGCAAACAATGGAACTCGGGCATCACATTCTTAAAGCTCACATTTTTAAGGTAAGAGATACATTTTATTCTGCCACTTAATCTGCCTTTCGTCTTATTCTTTCTTAGGTATTTCTGTCACAATGCCTTACATTAGAACATTCTTGGTGCTTAGAAAGAACTGTGCAGGCAGCTGTGACTTCACATTGTTGTGAATAATAAGAGTCGTTCTTTATTATTGTTACTTGCTTCGTATACAAAAGCATGCCAAAACAATTTATGAAATGTAAAATACCCATTTTTTAAAAAAAAAAAAAAAGGGAGAAAGGGAAACAAATACAGAAACAAAAGCCCTTAGTTGAACGTTCAAATAGAGGAGGCTTGGTTTAAGATACAGATTTTCAAGTGCAACGTTAACATATAATGTCAGGTGCTCTGAGAATTTCAGTGATTTCTGCATTCGAGAATGGAGGCAAAAGAGAGAAAACCTTTTTAAATGCCACTAAACAGAAGACTGCCGACAGAAGGCAGTTCCTTGTTTTTTTGGGTACATGCATTAAGTCCTCTCCCAGTGATCTCAAAAATAGGATCAGCTTATAACAACAAAGATAATCCCTTGGCTATCCTGATCTTAGGTTGTTCAGAGCTTTGAACCTATCCCAGCATATAATTGGCAGCCAGGGCGGTTTCTTCAACAGAGGTGTAACATTGATCCAGACAGACACCTCTGAATAATCTGCATTCTAACCAAGCTCCCCTTTTGAAACCAACTTGAAGGGTAGTTCTATCAAAAATGCATTGAAATAATCTAATAAATTTGAATTTATCATTGCCTGAATATTAATAGTTAGACCAGGGGTAGGCAACCTTGGCTCTTTTATGACTCTTGGACTTCAACTCCCAGAATTCCTGAGCCAGCTATGCTGAGGGGAAAGGGAGAGGTTTCCAAGCTGAGCCATGCTGGCTCAGGAATTCTGGGAGTTGAAGTCCACGAGTCATAAAAGAGCCAAGGTTGCCTACCCCTGAGTTAGACTGTTCCTGTCCAGGAAGAGCATACTTGGAATACCCACTGAAGTTAGCAGCAGGGTCTCCTGGTTATTCATAGACCTCCCGTATTCTTGATCGCTCTAGGAATGCTTCCAAATCATAGGTCTGTTCTTCTGAGAGAATCTAAGCCCATTGAACTATCCATCCACAAAGTGTCTGTCTTGTCAAGATTCAGTCTCGGTTTATTGGCCTTCATCCACCCCATCCAGTAGAGATGCTGGTTGCAGATCCAGTAACATCTCTAGCCTTTACTAACTCCTATTGATGACACTCAGCTCCAGGGCTTTATCTTGAGGCTAAATGCCAGTAGGATCAAAATCATGCCCGTAACTGTCAGTGGCCAGAGGTATTACTCCTCAGATACTACTTTCTGAATCCCATCTCTCCAAACTAGGGTTAGGGTTAGGAGGATATCATAATTGGCAGCATTAAAATGTCCCAAAATTGCACTTCCTCTGCTGTCTTCTGTACGGTTATCTGATAGGATGAGAGTATAGGTAGTCCTCGACTTACGTCCAAAATTGAGCCCAAAATTTATGTTGCTCAGTGAAACATTTGTTAAGTGAGTTTTGCCCCATTTGAGGATCTTTCTTGCCACAGTTAAGTGAATCATTGCAATTGTTAAGTTAGTAACATGGTTGCTAAATGAATCTGGTTTCTCCGTTGACTTTTCTTGTCAGAAGGTCGCAAAAGGGGATCACATGACCCCAAGACAGTGCAACCGTTGTAAGTATGAGTCAGTTGAAAAGCATCTGAATTTTGATCCCGTGTCCACGGGGATGCTGCAACAGTCATAGGTGTGAAAAATGGTCATAAGTCACTTTTTTCAGTGCCATTGTAACTTTGGCTACTAAATGAACTGTTATAAGTCGAGGAATATAACAGTTATACTGTATGGTTTTTCATTGTTTTCATTATTTTTAATGCTTGTATTGTTTGTATGGGGGAACAGCTAGAGCTACACCTATAGCATTCTCTCAATCACTTGTCCCGATAGGATAGGATAGGATAGGATAGGATAGGATAGGATAGGATAGGATAAGATAAGATAAGATAAGATAAGATAAGATAAGATAAGATAAGATAAGATAAGATAAGATAAGATAAGATAAGATAAGATAAGATAAGATAAGATAAGATAACCTTTATTGTCATTTTTTTAACTGGGCACAATGGCACACAAAAAATAAAAATTTAGTTGCCTGCTCTCAAGATGAAACACATACATACACACACCTAAAACATACTATTTACAACATATGTATAGACCCACACCCCTATAAATACCTAACAAATAAATATTAAATACTGTCCATCTTGAATATATAACGGAAGGAGGAAGCTTTAGAGTTCACAAGGTTAATACTGTATGGAATGAAACTATGGCTGAATAGGCAACAGTTGGCAAATCTCTGGATGCAGGGTGAGCTTCTTCAGGAGTGGACAGACCACTTTGATACAATACAATTCAGGGACCTTTGAATTGGATGGGCAATCCTTTTTGTTCCAAGAGCTGCATCTGTATCTATGCAAACATGCTAGTTACATGTCTGTCTCCCTTCTGGGCAAGTAAAAATACATAGAGTTTCCACTCCATCATATTTAATTTTCTTCATATTACAGGTCAGGAAAAAGAGAAGGAAAAACTTTTCTTTCCTTCAGGCAGAGAGAAAGCTCTGCTGCCTGTTGCTATATCCGTGCTGTGGCACCAGGAATCCTAATCAGGCAGCAGGGACAGATCCTAAGGCAGTGGTGGTGAACCTATGGCATGGGTACCAGAGGCGGCACTCAGAGCCCTCTCTGTGGGCACACACGCCGTCGCCCCAGCCCCGCCACCACGTGGCCCCTTCCACACCAGGAGCCCCCCCAGAGGAGACTCACCCTGGGTGCAGCCTGTGCAAAACAGCGCAGCCAAAGACATGGCAGCCGGGCAGCGGGACAAGACTCCACCCTCGTGCCCCATCGCGTACAGATGATGCTGCAGGGCACAGAGGGCGTGGCCGCAATGATGCTGCTGGGCTGCCTGAGCGATCTGCTGTGGCAGGCCATGGAGGTGGTGGGTGGCCCTGTGGGCAGGAGAGGCGGGGTTGGGACGGGCGAGGCGGTTTTTGGGCACTCGGTCTCTAAAAGTTTCGCCATCACTGTCCTAAGGCCTTTAGGATGCAGAGTGGCTACATGTGCTTTAAAAGACTATGCAACTTGAGTATATTTTTATGCCTGACAAGCCATTATGATAACCACCCTGAACTGTTGAGAATTTAGTCCACGAGGGCTTTTTTTTTAAAAAAAAAATGTCAAGGAGCGTTCAAGGCTTCTTTCTGTAATTTCTCCTCCCTGCAATTCTGTTGTTTCAGTTTTTATTATCATCAGTGTTCATTGTGTCTTGCAGGGGCTCAGTAGAAAAATGGGCATTTCTTCCAGTCATCTTCAGGCCCTGTGGATTGGCTATAGCACTGATAGTTTGTCAGCAGCACTTGCGTCTTTGAGAAATCTCTACACACCAAATGTAAAGGTAAGAAAATAAAATTTTATTTATTTATTTATTTATAAAATTTATTGGCTGCCCATCTTACCATAGGGTAACACTGGGCGGCTTAGAGTTATATATACCATATTTCCCCGAAAGTAAGACCTACTTCAAAAATAAGCCCTGGCTTGATTTTTTGGGAGTGGACCTAATATAAGCCCTACCCCCAAAATAAGCCCTAGTTTTGCGACAAGGCACACACCTAAAACTCAAGCTGGGGTGGGAGTGTGGAGCTGCCCCATGTGCCCCACACCCACCCACTTATCTTGCAGCCAGGCCTCTCTTCGCCAGCCCACTTCTTCTGCGGCGTCCCCAGGCCTGCATTTCACAGCCAGAGGCCTTTCCGGAAGGCGACTGCAGCCGAGAACTGAGCTATGGATTCAATCCATAGCTTGGTTCTCGGCTGCAGTGGCCTTCCAGAAAGGCCTTTGACTGTGAAATGCAGGCCGAAGCTCCATTCTCAGCTGCAGAATGAAGCTGCTCCTTCAGCTGCAGAAGAAGTGAGCCGGCTGGGCAGGGCTGTCAGTGCTGGAGGTGAGTGGAAAAGACACCCCACTCCCACTCCCGAAAATAAGACCTGGTGCCTCTTTGGAGGCAAAAATAAAATAAAATAAAAATAAAACTGGGTCTTATTTTGGGGGAAACACGGTAAATTAAAATATAAAAAAGTTAAAAACAAACATTATAAACCAAAGATACATGGGGATGGTGAGGGCAGAGTGGGGGGGGGAAGTGGGATCTGTTATTGCTCAGTCAACCACCTCCATTGCACTGTCCCCCCACTGGGGCCCCAAGCCAACTGACAAAGCCACATCTTTAGGCCCTTATGAAAAGATAGAAGGGTTGGAACCAACCTCACATTGGGGGGGGGGACGTTCCAAAGTGTAGGAGCAACAACAGAGAAGGGCTTCCTCCTGGACCCCACCAGTCAGAATGATCGGGTTGACACAACCCGCGGCATGCCTCCTCTGTCGGCACGAGTGGTATTGACCAATGCAGTGAGATGGTCTATCAAGTGACTTGGATCCATGCTACGAAGGGCTTTAAAGGTAATCACCAACACCTTGAATTGCACCCGGAAGCAGACTGGTAACCAATGTAGCTCGCGGAACAATGTTATTGGGACCATTCTTGGGGGTCCCAAAACTACCTGCGCTGCCACACTCTGCACCAGCTGTAGCTTCTGAATTCTCTTTGAGGATAGCCCCACGTAGAGTACATTACAATAGAGATGACTAGGGATTGAATGACCCGGCACAGGGAATCCTGGTCCAGGAAAGGCTGCAACTGGCACACAACACAAAGTTGTACAAAGGCTCTCCCAGCCACGACTGCCACCTGTTCCTCGAACAGGAGTCGCGAGCCCAGGAGAACGTCCAAGTTGCAGACCGGGTCTTTCTGGGGCAGTGCGTGTTGAGGTCAGAAAAAGCAACCAATTGTATGAAAGAAGGCATGTGCCACTACAAAAATATACACAGATTCAGAAGAGATATTTGGCTATCTGCATTTGCAGAATTAATTGAAAAAAATCCCCATCTCAGGAGAAAAACTTCAGTGGAAGAAAGCTGGATGAAGTTATTGCTTCTACAAATATTAAGGCAAGACAAGGTTAAGGTGGCCAAATTCTCTAGCATGTATATTTGTTAAGCAGCTCTCAGAATGAAATTTTAATGCAAGGGTAGATAGAATTCTAGCTTCTGCATTAAGAATGAGTGTACATTAATTAAATAAACTGATTCTTCATTTACATCAAAAAGTCATCCACACTGGAATAGCTGAAGTTAGTCCCAACTGACGGGGATTCCATAGCGTGTAATCATACTTTAAATTAACCAAATCAAATGTCCTCATTAGTGTCATTTGGCCTGATACACTACCATTAGAGGACTAGAAGTGTGTGTATGTGTGTATATGTACCTTTATAATTTTAAGGATTATAACAGTGTAATTGTTGAATAGTGATCCATAGAATTCAGTGCAATTCAGCTTGCATTTGTAATAAGGAACCGTAACCTGTAGGATTCTAAGTTTATGGTAATAATGGCAGCAGTTATACTGAGTAAATTGCCAGTGAATTGCCATAATGTTTATTAGCTTACTCCAGAGCAATGTTTAAGTGGAAAATCATACTGAGTCAATTAAATTAAAGTCTGTGACTATAGCAGTCCCAGATAAATATTACATTAAGATATTACTAAAACATATTGGGAGACCATCGGTCTCTCTGGTTCTGTTATAAAGAAAATCCTATAATATGTCCTTTTTTCTTCCATTCAATCATGTCTGATTCTAGGAGACTGCATGGACAGGTCCCTGCAGGGTTTTTTGGTAAGGTTTTTCAGAAGTGGTTCGCCTCCTTCCTAGGGCTGAGACAAAGTGACTAGCCCAAGGTCACCCAGGTGGCCTTGTGCCCACGGTCACCCAGTTGGCCTTATGCCCAAGGTCACCCAGGTGGCCTTGTGCCCAAGGTCATCCAGTTGGCCTTATGCCCAAGGTCACCCAGGTGGTCTTGTGCCCAAGGTCACCCAGTTGGCCTTGTGCCCAAGGTCACCCAGTTGGCCACTGATTTATAAAGCAGATACTGCACTTGTAAAGTAAATAATTTAAGGCACAGCAGCCTGTAGATATAATAATAATGCAAACACATAGGACTACATGCTGTTGTGTAAACATCTTACACAACCATTCTTATTCCTTTTGCTCATGCAAAATTCTGCCACTTGATTTTGCATAATTCTTCCTTGTCCCTCTTAGGAGTTTTTTTGGGAAAAGCATAGGAAGAGAAAAGTATGCAGGATGTTTTCATCTTTAAAAAACAGAAGGAGCAGCTAATATATTTTATTCCTCACAACAAGGAAATCCTCGCCTTCCTTTTAAGTTACTGATTTTTATAAAATATAAAGGACAATAGTGAAATTTCCATCTGTAGCTTTAGCGTATTGAAATTTATTACAGTTTTGATTGGTTTGGGCTGTCATTTTTCTGTACAGATTTTAATTATTGTATATGTTTCAATGTTTATTTAATCTCAGACTATAAATTAATAAAGTATAAATATGTATTTTATTAATGGAAGGAAGGAATGATCTTCAGGTGACCTGAATCATTTTCATGCTTTAACATTCAGAATCAAATGAATTCCAAAAATATTATCAAAATGAGACGGTGATTTTTTTTTTTTAAACCTAGGTGAGTCGTCTGCTGATTCTGGGTGGTGCAAATGTAAATTACAGGACAGAAGTCCTCAACAATGCCCCAATATTGTGCGTGCAATCTCATCTTGGGCATGAAGAAATGGTCCTCCTCCTTCTAGAATTTGGGGCTTTGATTGATGGAGCATCTGAAAATGGGATGACTTCACTTTGCTGTGCAGCAGCTGCAGGCCATATGCACATAGTTTCACTTCTTATCAAAAGAGGAGCAAAGGTAAATTTCATAAGCGACTTTGCATTTTTGGAGTTGTAGCAATAGCAATGGCACTTATATTCCACTCCATAGTGCTTTAGTTGTAGCAGTGTTGTTGATAAACAGAGCATGCTCCATCAGGCTATGCTTCCTGTCAATCAAATGTGAAAATTATGAATAAAACTGTAACCATGGGGCTGATGTCCTGCTCAGGTTTGTGCAAAATTGCTTGGAGAAAATTAAGTTAAAAGCCACATTATGCAACTGAATATGGCCTTACGTTTTTTAATGTATCTTAGACTTGGCGATAAGTATTTTTATTATTTCAGAAATATGTACCAAGAAATGGTTAAAATGGTAATATAAGTAATTAAATAATTAAATGGAAGCATTAGCAGAATCTCTGAGAAAGAGTAGATGCTTTGCAAGAAGAAGATAAAAGAAAATGAAAGGGGGAAGAGCTCAAATTGAAACATCTGCAGTCAGAGCTGTAAGGTTATTAGAAGACGCTTGTGCCTTCCAGAGATTTGAGAGGTAAAACATTGATGTGTGGAGGTAGTCCTCGAGTTACGAATGTAATGGAACCTGCACATTCCACTTGTAACTCGAAAACTCATGGGAGTGAATTTCGTACCTTGAACGAGAAAACTCCCTGCTTGTTAAGACGCACGCAGCTTGTAAAGCGCACATGAGGTGTCTCAGGGTGGGGAAGGCCAAGGGGGAGGGCTAGTGATGGAACACGCACCCAAGGCCTCCCCAACCCACTAAGATACCTCATGCTTCCCCCTCCCTTCCTGCTGTGCCGGACTCACTTACCTTGCAAGATCTGTCTCCTCTCTGCAGCAGCTTCTTTCCCTCTGAGGGAGAGGAGAATTGGCTTAGAAATGCTTTTCGCACCGACAATGGAAGCTCCACACAATGCCTCCCTGTTCAATTGAAGGCTTCGTTCCTGCCCTCAAACCAAGGCTGGCGCACGCGAGCGAGCAGCGCACCCTGGCCATGGACGGCATTGCTTCCTGCACCTGGCCGACTCCAATTCTATGCTCTGTCCCATAGGCATGCAAACGAAGCAAACACTCCCCCCCCCAGCAGAATGGAAGCTTCCGTGGGCCATGATCTCTTTTGCAGAGAATTTGTGTTTGAACTTGGGCGATATTACGCCACCCAGGAGCTTCCATTGTCGGTGTGAAAAGCATTTCCAAGCCGACTCTCCTCTCTCTCAAAGGGAAAGAATTTGCGGCAGAAAGGAGACAGATTTTGCAAGGTAAGTGAGTCCAACGAGGCAGGAAGGGAGGGGGAAGCAGTTGTGGGGAAGGAGGGGAGAATAGCGTGAATGTTGCAGAGCCTCTGTGGTCGTTCGTAAGAGCGAATGACTGCTGTGGTGCTACAATATTTCTAAATTTGGGATTTGCTCGTAAACACTAGGGGGTGCTGGTCGTGTAACTTCGAATGAACGTTAAGTGAATGCTCATAACTCGGGGATTACCTATACCAGTGATGGCGAACCTTTTAGAGACCGAGTGCCCAAACTGCAACCCAAAACCCACTTATGCATTGTCGGGTGCTGGGTGGGTGTGGCCCATTGGGTGGGCATGGCCCATTGGGTGGGCGTGGCTGCGGTGGTAACGGCAGACTGGGTGGGACTAAAAAGTTCAATCAATCAATTCCAACTTTGCAAGATCTTTTTTTTCCCGCGAGAAGTTGAAATTGACTGATTGATTGAACTTTTTTTTTTTTTGCACACGGCGGCAGAGGCCTAAAGTGAAAAGGTTTTATAAAACCCAGCTGAAGGCCTAGGACTGGGGCGACAGCGCACATGCCCACAGAGAGGGCTCTGAGTGTCGCCTCTGGCACCCGTGCCATAGGTTCGCCACCACTGACCTATACTTATGCATGCTACAAAATCAGCCTGATCCAGTGGCCTCTATGGAGAGCAAGAAGAGTCATGCTTATAAGAACAGCATAGCTACACAAGTTCCATCCCTTTTCTATGTGTTTTGACATTGCAAACATGCCCCAAAGTTTATAGCATGGGTTCTTGAGCTTGCCATAGCTTCGATCTCATCCCTCCATTTCGGCAGGGTTCTTTTGAGTAAGGAGGAATGATGACTAACTAACAGGTTGCCTCTCCCTCCAAATAAGTGTCATAGTGCTGTTACTGTTTTTTCATCTACTTTCTCTAAGCTTCCTAAAGCATCGGCGTATAGTCCAGAAGTTATATCACCTCTTTATTATTATTGCTTTGATCTACCACATAACTGTTTCACATTGTTGATACTATGAAAGAAACATTGACTAGTAAATAATTCTTCGTACTCTGTAATGTTTGATGACTGATAGGTTGCCAAGAAATCCTGTGTGAGAGGATTTTTGTCGTTTGCATGTACCTTGGCCAGTCTTTTATGGCTGAAAAGCAACTAGAGACTACTACAGTAATTTACAACTAATTCAGTTGCTACAATGAAATCATTTGGGAAAGAGAAAAATCATTTCGTTTGAAACATGTTACCAGGCCTTCTAATAACTCTTTTAAAAATGGCCTTCCTTATGGTAAAATGAGAGGGAGCAGAGACGATGTTTGTTTTGTAATATGTGAGGTGCCAAAAATCGCATCCCTAAAGGTCTCAGGGATCCTCCTCCCAGTGGGATGTATTCTTAACTGGATTATTTAGCTTGATTGTTAATTTTGATTATTATTTTGCTTGATACATCATCTTCTCCCTTTAAAATAGATCGATCACTTGGACAAAAAGGGACAGTGCGCTTTGGTTCACAGTGCTCTCAGAGGACATTCTGATATTCTTGAATATATGCTCAGCATAGATTGGCAGACTTCGCCTCACCAGCAGAGCTGTCTGTCAAAGAAGCAGGCTCTTCAGCAGGCTCTGACTGCCTCTTCAAGCATGGGACATGGCCAGGTAACTTGTCTCCTCTCGGTTTTCCACACAGCCTGTTCTCATTCCTTCAGGGTAGACCAGATTAGGAAAGTCATGGAGGCCACTTTTATTATAAAGCTATTGCAACAGAATCTTGCCAGTCTGAATACATGTTCTCCCCCCCTCCTTTTATCTTCATGAGAACTGGGGAGCTTCTTGTTTGCAGTGCCTTCTCAGGCTACAGTTCTGGTCTGGACTCAGATTTCTTTTATCTATTATTTTGGTTAAAGCTCTTCTTCCTGTTCTTCAAGGTTGTTCCAACTGCTCGTTACATCTGTTCATAGATTTAAAAAAGAGACGCTTTTTCCACTTATAAAGAACCATGTTTATTACATCTTTGTGTAAAATGGGAATCAAAAAAAGGTTAGCATATACCAGGGGTAGGCAACCTTGGCTCTTTTATGACTCATGGACTTCAACTCCCAGAATTCCTGAGCCAGCATGGCTCAGCTTGGAAACCTCTCCCTTTCCCCTCAGCATGGCTGGCTCAGGAATTCTGGGAGTTGAAGTCCACGAGTCATAAAAGAGCCAAAGTTGCCTACCCCTGGCATATACAATAGGTCTGCTTATACTGGATTGACACTGAACCCAGCCTGCACCATTGCCAAACTTGGATGCTCACACTTTTAGCATGTACCGCAAAAAGAGTCTCTTGACTGGTACTTTTAAAACAACAACAACAACAACCTTGCCTTTGATTTTGGGCTTAGTTTAAGCTAGCTAGACAACATGATTTAGTTTGTAACTAAAGCTACTTCATTGGCAAAATTGGGCTCAAAAGCTCAGCTGATGCATCTGTAATTTTATGAAATTAATCTTTGCACACTTTAACATCGGTAATATTTTTATTGCCACTTTTACAAACGTGTTGAACTCTATGCTGTGCATGGAGTAAAGGAGGATTAGGTCAGCTGTGTAAATATAAAATTCCTTTTGGTTTTAAAATAAAATCCAAAGTGAAAAACCTATATTTAATTGGAACAGAATATCCAGATAGTTATTAGCAATAATCATTTGTGATTCAATTCATATTGAAATAATTTGCAACCCTCCCTTCTGTTTGTTTTTGATCTTCGCAGCTTTAACATGTTCATCTTGGAGCTGATTATTCTTTACTAATGTTTTACTTTTTTCTGCTTTTTAATTGTTAACTTTTATTTAACCTATCAGAAGCACCTAAGGTTCAAACTTCAGGCTCCAAAAATTCCATTTCAAAAAAGACAACATTGTGGGAACAAACTTTCACTGTCTAATGGGCACAAATGGCCTTTTTTTGTTTTGTGAAAGGTCACAAAGCCTAGACAGGCATTTATTAAACTGGTTTGTTGCAATCAGTCCTCTCATTTGTGAGCCAAGAGACTTCTCAACAAGGAATTCCTTTGAGGTTCACATCACACCCAGACTCTAGCATAGAAGTCGCCTCTTCCCCAAATATCACAGGTTTTCCCTTCAGTCAGACATACATCTGCTGAGAGTAGACGGGAATTTATAACAGAGCGTATGGGCAAGCAGGCTATGTGGATGAGGCTTTTCTGTGTCAGAGAACAGGGAATTTGAATTGACTCTTACTGGGAATATAACTGCTGAGAATTAGAAGTGACAAAAAAAAATCCTGTTTTTTATTGTCCATTACTTAGTCAAAAAGCACAAGAGTATCTGCTATCCTGAACCTAACCCTCAACCAAGAAGGAGGAATTGGTTGAAGAATGGTGATGAATGCGTTGTGGGCAAATGATCATGTTATCTTTGAATTTGTAATATCCAGAAGAAAAAAGTATTCAGTAATACCTCCATAATAATGAATAACAGATTTTGATGAGCTGTGAAGGAGGAGAGATTAGTTTCATTGCCTTAAAATCTTGAAAGAGAAAAATATCCAGGAAGGATAAAAAAAAATCCCATGATACGGGATATGAAGAAACAGTTGTAAATAACTTCTATAAAATTAGAAGATCTGTAAAGAGGCCAGCATGGATATATGCAAAACTCTCTAAAATGTTGAGGAGAAAAAGGGACATATACAAGAAAGGGTTAGGGAAGAGAAGGACACATAATCAAACAAGAATATAAGGTGGTTCCAGAAACTTCTGGAACTATGGATTGCAAAAACTATGTCAGAAAGACTAAAGCTTAGAATCAGCTGAGTCTTGTGGTACCAAAAACAACAAGAAAGGCTTCCTTAGGTACATTAGAAAAAAATGTAGGTCCATTGCAAGGAGAAAGTGGTTAACTGATCAAGGGAGACGGTGAGAAGCCAAAACTCTTACTATGTGTCTTCTTTTTAAAAGGAAGTGGAACTTTACATGGTCCTTGTTATGCCACTAAGAGAAGGAGGGAAACTGCAGCTTAGGATAGACAAGGCCAGATGGATTACATACTACAATCCTAAAGGAACTAGTGGAAATAATCAGAGAGCCACTCTTGATAGTCTTTGAGAACTCCTGGGAGACCGGCAAAATCCCAGAACACCAGAGAACCGCAAATGTCCATCTTTAAAAAGAAGAGAAACCAAGAAACTGTAGATTTGCCAACTTAATGTCTGTCCCAAGCCAACATAGACACTACCATGTGTCTGTTGCAAATAAAGTCTGCAGGTCACACAAACTAACTTTATGTTTTCTGCTTCTCTCAGTGGCTAATGCTTTAAAAAAGATTTACTCAGGCTTTGGTGGTAGGTTGAAATGAAAAAAGATGGAATTTAGCTGGGAGAAATGTACAGTTCTGCCTCTGGATAAGTAAAATGAAAGGCATAAGTATGGGAGGAGGGGAGATATGGTTTGGTGGCAGTAAATGTATAAAAGATCTGGATGTCCTCCACGAGTAGACATTAAACATGGCATAATGATCAAAGATTAAAACTAAAATCATACATTATAAAATACCTGTATATACATACATCAGAATTCAAACATTAAAAAAGAGGCATTATTTATCTAGAAAGATACTAATAGCACCCCTGCCTGTTTGGCTTGATGAAGTAGCTAAGTCTTCACAAATCATTGATCTTCAGGGCTATTCAAACATCTGGAGAAATGCGACTCCAGAGCAGGGAGTAGTGAGAAGCCATGTTTCTTTGGTCCTTCTAAGTGGCAACCTCTGATCCAGGGGATGGAGGAAGTACCTGCCTTATTAAATCTTCACTATTGTCTATATATAGGATTCACATTTGAAAGTGGAAATATTTATTAGAATTCTTCATTTATACCTTTGCTTTTTCTCTCCAATAAGTTTTACTAATTAAAACTTAGTCTTGATAAAGCACCTACTTATTTTCCAGATTTTGAACCTCTAAATCCCCAGGTTCAGTTCTCTAACATTTACCACATTTGCTGATTTGTACTGTGTATATTTAGCCTTAGCCAAATTTCTTTTCCATAAAGTTCCATAAAACCATCCAAACCCAATCCAATTGTCTTCTACATGAAGTTCAACATAATTATACTGAATATTGATTAATAACACAAGTCAAACAAGCTCTTATGTTTTCAAGATTGTATTTATATGTTAACAATTGTTTCAAACTTCAAGAGCATCATACGCAGAATCATGTTAGCATTTCCCATGGAACTGTTTGATTTTTATTTTTTATGCAAAAGTCTGTTAGGACGTATTGCTACTTTAATGAAAAATAAGTGAATTCTTATACCTGCACAGTGCAGGGAATAAGATACCAACAATAGGCACATTGTGTTCTGAGACAATCTATTGGCCACTCCTGATGATGATCTAATTCAATGGTCCTCAACCTGTGGTCTGAGGACCCCTATAGGGGGGCACAAGGTAATCACAGGGGGCCCACGAAAGCTTTTGAAGAAATGTTATGATTTAAATTTTGAATTAAGTCTTAGGGGTCCGAGGTCATGGTCCGTGGCCACAAAAGGTATTTAAAGATGGTCCGTAGTGAAGGTGAGATCCACTGATCTAGTTGATGAATATTGGGGTTTTAATTTAGAACTTTTCAAGGCTAAAAGGCAAAAAGGCCTGCTTTATTCACAAGCTACATCTGTGTCAACTTTGCTGTTAATTTAATTCAGTACAATCCATGTATAATATGTCCTTTAATTGAAACCCAGTGTTTACACAAGCATCATTCACAGTAATGAAGTGCAACAGTTGAGCAAACTCATGATTTGATGGACTTCATCAACTGTTTTTCCTCCCTCCCTCCCTCTCTTCCTCCCTTTTCATTTTCCTTCTCTTAGGTCATTCGTTTTTTGATAAGAATTGACAAGGAGCCTAAAATTGACATCAATGAAACAGATACTTTGTGGGGAGAAACAGGTATATGTGCTAAATGTTTTTTTTTTAACCTTTTCAAACAGTGGTACATTGTAAAAGCTAAGTGAAATGTGTAGATTTAGAGCAGGGGTCTTCAAACTTGGCCCTTTTATGACTTGTGGACTTCAACTCCCAGAATTCCTCAGCCAGCTCTGCTGGCTGAGGAATTCTGGGAGTTGAAATCCACAAGTCGTAAAGGGGCCAAGGTTGAAGACCCCTGATTTAGCAATGCTTACCAGTTAGGGGGGGAAAGGGCACATAATTACTAAGCTTAATTCACTATTGAAAAATGGGGGATTGTTTGTGGTGCGTGCCCAGAGATAGCAATGATAGTGTCAGGGTGGCTATGTCATGGTATTAATACGCATGAATAGGGAACTGAATTTTTTTAACGCTGTTACTTTCTGTGAAGCAACGTTAGACTTAAAAATTCACATTTTTTTGTCATGACAGTGCTTGTTTATTTTAAAGTTTGTTTGCTTCTTTTGTCAGAGTCTCTTCTCATTTCTTTGTGGAAAGTGTACAGTGAAAATGTATTTAAGTAAATGAAGTTAATGTAGCTTCTTATCATTTTAATGTTTAATTCCAGTTAGTATTTCTGATTGCCCCCACGCATAGTGAGGTTCAACTGTACAAAGCATTAATTTCCATTTCTTTGTATGAATTTTTTTTTTGTTTGATTAGGGAATGATCCTCTTTTTTTCATAGGTCTAATTGTATAATATATAACAGTAGTACAAAAGTTACTGTCCTCTTTTGCCAGAAAAGATGTATTCTAGAAATAAAATTCCAGTATATTTTGTTCCACTGTGGCAGAAGGTAGCTGTGCACAAAAGCCAACATTTTTGAAACGGACATTATTTGAAATGCCACGTGAGATACAGTAAAGCGAACGAGACAGCTTATATTGAGTGCAGCAGCTTTCAGCTGTTCAAATCATTTAACTGAAAAATGTCCTTTCCTTCACCCCAACGTTTTTCAACATTTGTGGCAGCATTCCTCTGGTCTAATGGGTCGCTCTCATATTTTTCATTTTGCATCAGCTTCTTGTTTAGATGTTCATTTAAACTTCTTTCCTGAAGTCGGAATTCATCGGACAAATTAGAGATGGGGTTTTTCCACTAGAATGGTTAGCATTCCTGAGCATAGTGTTTCCCCCCCCCCCGAGGAACTTTTTTGTTTAAGCCCAGTGCAAGCTAATCTTTGTCTTGCTTTTTCCCCAATATGGTATACTTGAGATTCATTGTTTTTGTTTCTTAAGTGACCTTAGAGCTATGAGCAATACTGAGATAGAACACAGGTCTGTCTGCATTCTGTTTTTACTAGGGTAGCTAGCCTTGCCTTACACAACCCATAGTGATCAGTTAGAAAGGATAAATACAACTTTCAGACTGCTTGGGTCAGCACAGTCCTAAAATAAATAGTTATCCCCAATGTCAAATGCCATGTTTTTAAAAATTGTGAGTGTATTTCCTGTAGTATTTTAGATAAAGCCCAAGCATATTTTTTTAAATTTATGTTGAGTCAAATGAGCCTACTAAAATCTGGACAAGAGTTCTGATTTTTAATATTACAGTCTGTATTTTATACAAACAAACTGAATTATTTTCCTCTATAATTGTAATGAAGGTTAGGATATGAGGATATAGAGAAGTTCCCTTTTATTGATTATTTAATGATAGGCTTTATCTGGCCTTAATACATAGAATGTTCTTAAGGTTTTTCCTTAAAGTTTCTGCTCCCCTTTATATCCCTTTTTTCTTTTTCTTTATTTTTTAGCTTTGACTGCTGCTGCTGGGAGAGGAAAACTGGAAGCATGTGAGCTGTTACTTGAACATGGGGCTCTAGTTACAAGACCTAATAAGAGAGGGATACCTCCGCTTTTCTGTGCTGTGCGTCAGGGGCACTGGCAGGTGGGGCTATACGCTTATGCATAAAACAGTTATGATTCACAGAATGAAAGAAATATTCATAATATCAACTCAGAGTAGCCATTTTGGAAATCAAAAGGAGATCTGATGAAATAACGAAAGCCACGGTTCTATTTAGATATCAAGTGTGTAAAACCAGTTGATTTAGGAAAGAGTAGAGAGGAGACAAGACAAGAGAATTCTTTATTGGCCAAGCGAGATTGGGCACATAGAGAACTTGTCTCCGGTGCATAAGTTCTCAGTGTTCTTCTCAGCTGCAGAGAATTCTGGAAGGTCCCATTCTTCCTTCAGACCAAGCTGTTCCAGGTTGGTTGGTTTCTGGTAATAAATCCTTTGATGTGTATCCTTGAGGAGGCTTGTCCCAAAATACGACTGTTTTGTCCAGATTATTTTCTGGGACATCTCAAACCACTTCTGGGTCACATCTTTACCTGTGGAAACTCCCCACTACCCTCTGGTCTAGTATGGTTAGGATAAATTTGTATTTTGTAGTTTGACATTTGTTTCAGTTAGCTGGCCAGAGTTTATCTAGGTTCAGATATTCACGTGAAAGACATCTTTTCTTTTTCAATGATTGTGATTTTTGCAATGAGGCTTTTTTTTTCATTTTTCCAGATAGCCAAGCTTCTATTGGAACATGGTGCTGATATAAATTTAAGTGACAGGCAAAGCAGAACACCACTCATGGTGGCATCTTGTGAAGGACATCTGACCACTGTTGAATTTCTAGTCTCTAAAGGTAACAATAACTTCTCCAAAACTTTTTTTCAAATGATCTTATTTTTTTCAGTTATTCTAATATAGATGGTATTTATTACCGCTGTATTTCTGAACATATATTGACTTTTATGAATTCAGGCAAAGACCAAAAACTCCCAATTGAAATTAAATAGTGTGTGGTGCAAGCTTTCAAGGAAAGTCAAGCATTAAATGAAAAATATCATATATGAATATCAACTTAATAAAAAAAACATTTTCTCACTCAATTTTTTTTTGTTTGCATGTAGGTGCTGATATTTCATTAGTGGACAAGGAAGGCCTGACAGCATTGAGTTGGGCTTGCCTCAAAGGACATAAGAGTGTGGTCCAATATTTGGTTGAAAAAGATGCCAAAATAGGCCAAACAGACAAGAATGGAAGAACACCTTTGGATCTAGCAGCATTCTATGGAGACTCAGATATTGTAAGCCAGGATGTATTTTATCTTCTCTGTGAATTTTACTACCTGAAATCAAGTAAAACTATCGGTATTTCACCAATCTGAATACTATTTAAGCAAATTCAGAATGCTTTTTTTTGTAGATGCAGGAAAGACATTTAACCGATTTTTTTTTAAAAAATGTAACTGCTATTCAGTGTTGAGTACTTTAGAAATGCAAATATTTTGATGTTCATTTGATTCTCAATTAAAATACTTTCAATGTTGTGTCACACCACCAGATCAAAATACTGAAAGGAATAATGTTATAACCTGGTTTTTTTCTTATTGCCTAACATCAGAATTGCATTGTTTGTTGTGATTTCAGTAGATGAGATGCAAAGAGATGCTTCACGAAAGTATAGCTTCAATATTAATTTTTGCAGTTTGTACTTCATATATTTGTAGATTGTACACTTCCATATAGCATGGATGCCTGGTACAACAGTCTAGCTACACAACTACTTATTCATCTAACAAATTTATATAGCTGCCCAACTCACATATAGGTGACTCCAGACGGCTTACAACATTTACAAATTTAAAAGATCCATCATATAATAAAAATCCCTACCCCACACCCATGGCAGAACAACACAAGTAGATTAACCACTTAATTAACTCCATTTCAATCTATTGTCCCTAGGCCTACTAACAAAGCAGCATTTTTATGGCCTTTTGGAAAAGGAGCAGGATGGGGACCAACTGTATCTTGGGGGGGGGATGATGTTCCATAACAAAGGGGCCATCACCGAGAGGACCCTTTTTCATGGTTCCACCAGATGACAACCCCTAATTGATGAGACCTGTAGCATTCCCTGTCTTCCCATCCTGGTGGGGATGGATGGCTATAATAGGGGGAAAGTAGCCCTTCAAATAAATAACCTGGCCCTAAGCCACGTAAAGGTGCTAACCAGCACTGTGAGTTGTATCTGCAGCTTCTGCAGAAGAGATGACACAGTTGCAAGTTTAGGCTTGAGCAAAATTGATCAGGTTGCTTTGTTCTGAACTAGCCAAGTATAAAAGTATAAATAATGTTAGTGTATTTTATGGTTCAAGTCTGGATATTCATAAGGTAAATGGTTAAGTACCTGGTGATTTTTAAATACCATGTCTGCCTGTAGAAAATAATTTTAATTTACAAACCAAGTTATACCAAAGGTTTGTTGAAGCTTGATGGATTACATTAAGAAATATTAATTAAACATATCTTTCAAGATTATGCTTCCTGGAAAAACTGCGGCAGAACACTTTATTGATCAAGTAATCTAAGCATTACAGTAGTAGAAAATTGATGTACAAAACAAACACATGAAATAAATTCCTGATTGTACAACTTCAAATTGAGGATTGAGTAGCTGCACCAGTTACCATAAAGCAGGGGTAGGCAACCTTGGCTCTTTTATGACTCGTGGACTTCAACTCCCAGAACTCCTGAGCCAGCATAGCTTAGGAATTCTGGGAGTTGAAGTCCACAAGTCATAAAAGAGCCAAGGTTGCCTACCCTTGCCATAAAGTAATGTTGCTGATTTTTAAAAAGCTTTATTGCTTTGCATTTTTATTTTTTACAGGTGCAGTATTTAGTGGAGAAGGGAGCCGTAATTGAGCATGTTGATAATAGTGGAATGCGCCCCCTGGACAGGGCCATTGGATGTCGAAATACATCAGTGGTGGTCACCTTGCTCCGAAAAGGAGCCAAACTAGGTCAGTGAAAGAGAAAATAAAATGGTTCTGTTTAGGATTCTTTTAAAGCCCAACCCATTTACCTTAGACTGTTTTATAAAACTGATTTTAGTACTAATATTATGCCTATCTAAATACACTGAGACTTCTAGCAATTCAGATTTTATCTAGTTCAATTTAAATTCTCAGCCTGTAAGTATCCAAAGCTTGGGCATTAACTCCCAGGTACCTCCAAACTTAATGCTGAATTGTAATTACAAATGTGACAAAAAGGTAGAATTATTAAACATATGAAGAAGAAACAGATTAATAGTTCAGTTAATTCGTATAAAATTTCATGCCTGTCTGTTTTTTAGAAGGCAGACCCCCCCAAAGGCTATATATCTGTTACAGATCATGAAAAATTAGCATCTATAATAGAAACAAAATAAGATTAGAAAGAATGGAGTCATCCAAGAACAAGACAGAAATAGGTTATTCCACCTTGCTAAGTTTATTACAATATTTCTAGGCTGCCAACTCCATGTGGACTTTCAGTGGTGCTTAACTCATTAACACTAATATAAAATAAATATTTTAATTAAAGTTACATTAAAATCTCTCCCATAGTAATGCCTGGCAACATTGCATGCTAAGTGTTCTTCCGTGAAAGCTATTGGGAAAGGCTGTTCCTTCAGGATGGAGCATATATAGAGAGACAAAGTAGCCTAGCCCTCTACTCATAAATCTCTGTGATCCCTGTCCAGTATATATTATGGATAGATTGTTTGTCTTCAGTTCTATGCATATCTAGGTTATGTAGAATCATGCAGAATTTTAAAAGTAATGACTAGCTTTTGAAATTGTAACCAAAAGTCCACTGGCTTACCAATACAGTGCTCTGAATAGCTACACTGGACATTTTCAGACACTGTACCCCGAATGGGCTGTGTATTTTTTTTATTAATTGTCACTAGTTTTAAAATATAGCCCCGTGTAATGCCTATTGCAGTAATCTAACCTAGAAGGGCCTGGATGATTGCTCCAGGTTTTCCTCATGCAGATAGGGCTCGACATGACAATCCAATAGAAATCATGAGTCTTAAAAATTCTGGACTTTGGGGAAGTACTCCAACTTCAGAGTGATTTATTAAGTTATTTATACAATTAGTTGTAGACTGCTCACTTCAGCAAAGAACACAAAAGCATTCAGGAACAGAGCAATAAAAACACTAGTCTAACCTGATTTGATTAACTCAAGACAACTTTTGTACTGTTAATGCCCTTAATCATTGGGCCAAATAAAGAGGCAGATGATTCCTAGACAACACATCCAACTTGCTCGGATTTACCTTTGCTCAGTCTTCTCACTGAGACTCTGACTTCCTCCTGACTCTGGGTGAGGATCTCCACACTATCTCCAGGGTAGAATGGTTTTCTTTCTTTGCATATTGCTAATTCTTATGTGCTGCCTTTGCTTCCCACTATCCAGAGCAGTGAGGTAGGGTCCATTTCTTCTTGGGAAGAACTCACAATGCAAGCTCATTGCTGGTTCAGGAGAGATATTTCGACAGTTCCACAAGTGCTAAGGTGCAAATACAGTTAGGTGCTTGTAAGCCAAGAGCCACTCTTTTCAGTCCAAGTGGCAAAACAAAAAAAGTTCGGATTTTTTTTTCCAGCCCTTAAAATATAGGCTTAATAAAACTTGTGAAAATCCTAGAATGTTTTAATTGTTCTTTTAAACAATACATTCAAATACCCAGATTTTAAGAGATAGCTGTAGTGACATACACGGAATTCCAAAAACAGCAAGTTATGCTAATAAAATCCAGTACAGGGAATCTGCTCTATACACCTTAAGTTTCAGAGCCCGCAGAATCAATTTCAGAGATGTTGGTTTCAGAGCAGCAAGGCCTCCTGACGCTGTTGGAAGGCAGACTAAAGCATCCCACTTTTTATGGGACTCTTGGATCATGAATAGCTAATCACTTTTTGGAAATAGTTAATCTACTTGCAAGCAACATCCATTTTTCATGTCAGGATTTAGCCTGAAAATTCAGCCTAAAAGTTAAGATTGCCTTCTTAACTGCATTCTTCATTTGTAAAAGATCCAAATATAAAGATTTACAGCATAATGGTTTGTCTGGCTAGAACAAACCATTATGCTGTAAATCTTTATATTTGGATAAAAATTGAGGGGGAAAGCACTCCTGATAGAATCAACTAAGAGTCAACTAAGTGAGTTACATAAATAGAAGAGTTGTCAATCATTTGAAAGATTTCTTAGAATGCATTTAAGTGTTAATTTTACATATTTCAGGAAATGCAGCGTGGGCCATGGCTACTTCAAAACCTGATATTCTGATTATCCTTCTACAGAAGTTAATTGAAGAAGGAAACATAATGTATAAAGTAGGTGGATACTTGTGCTAATTGAGATCTGAATGAATGAGTGAACTAATATATGTACTGATAAAACATCCATAGTATGGATTGCTAAATTACTGTTACAGTGAAGTAAAAAAAATATTTGATCCCCTGCTGATTTTGTACGTTTGCCCACTGACAAAGAAATGATCAGTCTATAACTGTAATGGTAGGTTTATTTTAACAGTGAGAGACAGAATAACAACAAAAAATACAGAAAAACGCATTTCAAAAAAGTTATAAATTGATTTGCATTTTAATGAGTGAAATAAGTATTTGATCCCCTATCAATCAGCAAGATTTCTGGGTACCAGGTGTCTTTTACACAGGTAACTCTCTTAAAGGGAATGCTCCTAATCTCAGCTTGTTACCTGTATAAAAGACACCTGTCCACAGAAGCAATCAATCAGATTCCAAACTCTCCATCATGGCCAAGACCAAAGACCTGTCCAAGAATGTCAAGGACAAGATTGTAGACTATACAAGGCTGGAATAGGTTACAAGACTATTGCCAAGCAGCTTGGTGAGAAGGTGACAACAGTTGGTGCAATTATTCACAAATGGAAGAAACACAAAATAACTGTCAATCTCCCTCAGTCTGGGGCTCCATGCAAGATCTCACCTCGTGGAGTTTCAATGTTCATTAGAATGGTCAATGATCATTAGAACGGTCAATGATCATTAGAACAGTCAATGATCATTAGAACGGTCAATGATCATTAGAACGGTGAGGAATGAACTACACAGGAGGATCTTGTCAATGATCTCAAGGCAGCTGGGACCATAGTGAACAAGAAAACAATTGGTAACACATTACGCCATGAAGGACTGAAATCCTGCAGCACCTGCAAGGCCCCCCCTGCTCAAGAAAACACATGTACAGGTCTGTCAGAAGTTTGCCAATGAACATCTGAATGATTCAGAGGAGAACTCAGTGAAAGTGTTGTGGTCAGATGAGACCAAAATCAAGCTCTCTGGCATCAACTCGCCGTGTTTGGAGGAGGAGGAGGAATGCTGCCTATGACCCCAAGAACACTAACCCCACCATCAAACATGGAGGTGGAAACATTATGCTTTGGGGGTATTTTTCTGCTAAGGGGACAGGACAACTTCACCACATCAAAGGGGCGATGGACGGGGCCATGTACCGTCAAATCGTGGATGAGAACCTCCTTCCCTCAGCCAGGGCATTGAAAATGGGTCGTGAATGGGTATTCCAGCATGACAATGACCCAAAACACACGGCCAAGGCAACAAAGGAGCGGCTCAAGAAGAAGCACATTAAGGTCCTGGAGTTGCCTAGCCAGTCTTCAGACCTTAATCCCATAGAAAATCTTTGAAGGGAGCTGAAGGTTCGAGCTGCCGAATGTCAGCCTCAAAACCTTAATGACTTGGAGGGGATCTGCAAAGAGGAGTGGGACAAAATCCCTCCTGAGATGTGTGCAAACCTGGTGGCCAACTACAAGAAATGTCTGACCTCTGTGATTGCCAACATGGGTTTTGCCACCAAGTACTAAGTCATGTTTTGCGAAGGGGTCAAGTACTTAAATCAATTTATAACTTTTTTGAAATGCATTTTTTAGATTTTTTTGTTGTTATTCCGTCTCTCACTGTTAAACTAAACCTACCATTACAATTACAGACTGATCATTTCTTTGTCAGTGGGCAAATGTACAAAAGCAGCAGGAGATCAAATAATTTTTCCCCTCACTGTACATGCAAAGGGGCTTTGTTCTAGAGTATATTTGTTTATTTGTAATATTAATAATCTTAATCTTGACTGCAGGAAAAAGATAAATAAAATAACTTTATTTAAAATACAAAGGTGTAAGTGAGGCAATGATCATTTCAACTAATGTTTAAACGTTGATTTCTGTACTCATATAGCAACTGTGCACAAATATAATACAATGTAACCCTGATTCTAGTAAGGTTTCTCTAATGACTGTGAAAATCACATGAAGAAATTATATAGGTAATCGTGAATCCCATGTAATCTTACATAGGAGAAATAACAGTGACTAGTTGTGTACTTCTAACCAGTACATTCAGATTCGCAGATTTGTGCCCGCAAAGTGCTACAGCTCTGGAACACTCTAAAGTTGGTCATTTGGTTGGGCTGCTCTTTCCTATTACATACCCTTCGGAGAGTAGGGTTGAGGACCTTGAATTGATAAGAGGCTCAAAGGGGAGGGGTGCTTGAAAGCGCAGTTATAGAAAAGCGAACTCTCATTATTCTTTATGACTCTCCACAACACACATTGGATGGCCTGCGATAATGTAGAACAGTACACTGCCTTGTGAAAAGCTGCATGAGGCCAGTAATGCCGGATGGATTGGAGCTGGGAACATTCCGTGAGTGTCCTGCTTGGGTATCCTCTGGCAGTGGCAGCAGACATAAAAACAGCCCTTTCAATTCTGATGAGCTGTGAGGTAAGCCATTTCCCACCATTAAAGGCACCGAGCTTTGAGGTCTTCGTGACAAAAAAAAAAGTGCTGAGTTTTCTGGCATGCGTATAACTTTCCTTGTGTGAAATAATGTAAGGTTCACTGGTCTGCAGAGCACAGAGTTCTCTGGTGTGACATACAGAAGTAATTAACCAAGAGCACAATTTTCATGGTCAGCAGCCCTCGGAGAAGTAGTAAGTTGCCTTAGGTCCTAGCAATTTTTGAAAAACCAAGCAGGAGTCACTTGGAGAACTAGAAGATAAATACTTCATAAACTAAATCCACTCAGTATCTTTTAAATTAAAGATTAAGAAAAAAAAGTGATTAAGGGAGAAAGGAGTTTGTGCTTATTCTCCAAAGGGAAAGGAAGAAGCGGGCAACTTGAACAGAGTAGAGAAGGAAATGGAGAGATACACTGGACCCTGTGAGAACTGATCATTCTGCCCTTAGAAAGATCTAGAAAACTGATGATTAGACAAGAGGACCAGAGATGCAAGCTATTGTGAGATCTCTCTCCCCTCTTTCCCCTTCAGTTTTATTTAGAATATGGAGCTATGGCAGTCAGGTTCCATGTATGGTGCACTAGCAGGGACTTTAAAGGAGTAAAACAGGAGGCGGAACAAACGTAGGTAACTACATGAAACCGGTTTGATGATGATGGTTGAAAAAGCCCCTTGATGCCTTAAAGCATCTGTTTTTAAATAAGGCATAGGGAACTGATAGCTGTGTTTTAGGGATAAGGTATATAAGATTCTCCCTGATGGAAAGACATACAGTCCCATCTCTCATTAACAAGATGCCTACTGAAACATTTACTATACTTCCAAAAGGCCTTAAAATCCCTGGCCAAAGAGTAAACTTCAGAACTCATCTCAGTAAACTGAAATGCTAACACTGATATAATGATAAAGCTAGGCTCTAGAACACAGGTGTCAAACTCACCACATCACGTGACATGTCGCAACGTATCGCGACTCTTTTTGCATTGCCAGCAATGGGGTGGGCGCGGCTTCGGTATGATGAAACCGGTCCGTGAGCCTGCAGTTTGACACTCCTGCTCTAGAATGTTTTAGAACCATAGTTTTGCACACACCTTTGTGTGTGATGCATAAAGACAGATGCGTCATCTTTCAGATTTGAAAGGACAAAAAAGTATTTCACAGCTAACAGCCATCAGCAACTCCTTAAAGCAGTTGCTCTCTGCAACTACAACATGATCCCAGGAAATGTTGATGTTGGTTTAAGGAGTTGCCAAGTGATGGTGCACATGCACCACTGTGCTGTGAAGCAGCCTTTCTCCTTCACATTCGAAGCAATGCACAGCTCTTATTTTAACCACAGTGCACAGCAAGGCTTGTGTTAAGACAAGTATCTGTATAAGACAGTGTTTTTCAACATTGCCAACTTTAAGATGCATGGACTTCAACTCTCAGAATTCCCCAGACAGCGTATGTTGGGGGAATTCTGGGAGTTGAAGTCTATGAGTCTTGTAAAATTGCCAAAGTTGAAAAACACGGATATAAGGTAATGTATTGCAACCGGGACAGCAGGGAGCGCCATTGCTTCTTCACACACTTTCCAAATAGGAATTACCCAGCCATTGCCACTTACATTTTAGTTAGATGAATGTGCACACAATTTGAGTCCCTGCTTAGATTATATCTCAGTGCAGTGGACACTTTCAAAAGAAATGTATTATTAAAGACATTTAAAAATACATACTTCCATAAATGCTTTAACTCTTCAAAACATGTGAAGTTGTTCACTTGGATGAAGAAATTTGAACTATCCGAATATAAGGCAGTATTTTTATTAGTAATTAAAATATATGGAATGTCTTTCTGTTTGTTAAAAAAAAATCAGTATTACAGCTTAAATTGAAATTAATTAAACTACTTTCAAGTTAAAATTAAGATAATGAGATTTAAGGAATTGTACCTGATCACTCCTATGTTCTCATTCTTTTTATAGAACTTTCATTTGTGAATCTGCCTTATGGTGCTGATTAATTGCAATTTAAGTGTTTATCTATATAGTGTGTTTATCTACATCCTTTAATAATTAACTTCATAAATGTTATCTAAATATATAGTTACTACTTTGCACTCATTCTTCTGAAATATCTCTAAATATTGGTATCTCTAAAGTTGATAAAATCAATGCATAATTCAATGTAGTTCACTCATAGCTTTGTAGCCTGTGAATTATGCTATCTTGTATAGTATATAGCATAATCTTTTTATCCTTACAAATATACATGTTAACAAAACAGCAAAATACTATAAATGAAAAATTATTGCCTGTATTATAAGCATAACTTGTTTTTGAAAGAATATTCAAAACACTGCCATGTATTTAGTTCAGGTATGAAATATAGTTAAGTTTCATCAACTACATTATTTGCTTCTGTACTTGAGGTAAAAGATGGCTATTGTTAGTTGAAATCTAGTTAGTTTCCAAAATGAAATAGTTTTATAACCTTTAAATTGATTGTAAAAAAATGTTATATATCTACATAGGATATTGTTTAAAAATATTTTAAACATCCCAGTTTCATTAAGATACAGAATGCAGTTTCAGATATAATTAAAAAAAAAAAAAGTCCTTGTGGTCCCTATCGTATCACATAAGAGATCCTTGCCTATATATATATATAAGTCCTGAAGGTAAACATGCAAGTGTTCCTCAAACAATTTGCATGAATTTCTAAGTCTGTATTAACCAATAAAAAGTATTCTTAGTAACATATATAAAGTACTAAATAGTACTACTGTTTATCGTGAAAAATCAATCTTTTTTTAGTCTTTAATGATGCTCACTGGACTGCCAGTTTATTTTAAAGGTGAAAGCAGTTTTAGCAATGACATATTACCGTTCTGTGGTTTGATCTGCAGAAAGGGAAGATGAAAGAGGCCGCACAGCGGTATCAGTATGCCTTAAGGAAGTTTCCTCGAGAGAGTTTTGGAGAAGAAATGAAAGCTTTCAATGAACTCAGGGTTTCCTTATATCTGAACTTATCAAGATGTCGCAGAAAAACTAATGTAAGCCTCTTTTCCAAGTTTTCCCCCCTTGGTATAACTTGCAGAAAATAATTCTGGGTGGAGCTGCCATTTTAGATAATGCTAAGTCAGCAGCCTTTTGGGATAATAGGCAATTGCCTTAAAAATTGTAATAACTTAAGGCTCATCCAGGAATATAGAGTTCTTGAAAGATTTGGCTCTTTTAGAACTGTTTAAATTGGGTGGGGCTAAGGGAGAGGACAATGGGCACCATCTGAATGTGTTGTAGACTCTGTATTTTTAAGCCCTGTCTTACGTGACTGCTCGCGTATCTTTTCAGACGTCCTCTACTATGTCTGATCTTTCAGACATCAAGGCATTTCTGAAAGCAATTTGGGTATGCACATATTCAATGCATGGCAATTATCTGTATCTCAGATACAGATGGATCCCAAACGGATTCAAACAATCAGCAGAAGTGGGGTTAGGAAGATGCCTTGAGGTTATCTGAGCAAATACTCCTCACTCCTTACCTTAATTTCTGCACTGTGATTTTGGCAGGATTTTGGCATGGCAGAAGAATTTGCTACCAAGGCCCTTGACCTCAAACCCACATCCTATGAAGCGTATTACGCCAGGGCAAGAGCCAAGAGGAACAGCAGGTACTTAAAGCTCTTTTGCAATAATGTTTATTTGGGTAATATTTTTAAAAAATGTGTAAGAATAATGATATGGCCTTCAATATTACATTTTGACAAAAAACCAAGAAGTTTTCTATTGGTTTCCAAGCTGTTCATAGATATTTTGGGTTAATTCTCTTACTTTTGTTTGTTTATGCTGGCAGAATTTCCAATCTTAGTGGGCTACCATGATGGTCTGAACAGAAAACCTCTTTATTGATACTTACAGTATTATGAGGAAAAAAATTAACTGGGATATTTTTGGAAGGAGCACAAAGAATGGCTAAAATCACCTCCTTAAATGCCATAACCAAACACTGACTTCACACGAAATTGAAAATAGGAAGCCATTATAGGATGTGCAATATACACGAAACAGCCCCACCATCACCTTTTTTGGTATAATTTTCTAAAAAGAGGGGAAAAAGATAATGCTTTGCTAAAAGTAAGGCTTGGTTATGTGTAACTATTTCCTTTCCAAACTGAGGTACATTTCTGGACAAGGCTATGCTCTGTCTGAAACAGCACTACATTAGCTTTTTTGAGTAAGGAACCACATTTGAAAAACTGGATGAGGCCAACACAACAGATAATATTTTATATAATTTAATTAAAACATTAGTATTATTCCACATTTAATTTAATAGGGTTAGGGTTTCTATTGTTCTTCGTCAATAATTTTTAAAAGCGTTTTGAGGTCTACTGTTCATGTAATTGGGAGGCGAGGAGCTTATCATGCTACTCATGAAAGGGATTTACATGTGGGTTATAAAATATATAGGGAACTGCCAAAATAAATATACTGCGGCTTGTGGTTGTGAAAAAAGGAATGCGCCAAGCTTATTGTTTTGGGATTTCCTCCCTTTCAGGCAATTTCAGGCAGCCCTCACCGATCTGTGGGAAGCCATAAAGTTGTGCCCTGGAAACCAAGAAATCAAGAGACTGCTAACTCGAGTCGAAGAGGAGTGCAAACAGCTCCAGAGAACACAACAACAAAAGCAGCAGTGTTTTCAGGCAATGCAGCAGAGCAATGACTCTGACTATGAGGGTGAAGTACTCGTGCAGGATCACTTCAGCCTGGAAGAAATAAAAGAGGAGGAACTTTTATGTGAGCAGGAACCTGGTCCAGCTAGGCCAAGATTGCCACTTTTCCAGGCTTCTTTATCTTGCAGCAGAAACCCTCAGGAAGGTACTCAGCAGAAATTTAGGCCTGTATCTCCTCCAAACAGAGCCGGCAGTGCATATTTGCGAGAGTCTGTGCAGCCCACGAAGCAAGCTCAGATAGTAAAAACCAATCAGCATCTGAATTCTGCCCAGGCTGCAGCAAGACCTAGTCCTAGTCAGCCTGGCACAAAGATTCAGCACCTCCAGTATCTTCCTCCAAGCCCTGTGACTTCCAGACACCTTATGACTCCAAACAACAAAGCACAGCATTTAGATGGGGCACACACAGTATCGGCAGGCGGTAGCTGTGCGCTTTTCAATGAAAGATTAGCAGCTTGCCAGCTTCCCTACTTGCAGCATAGTGACAAAGGATCTTCTTTCATGAGTAAGTCCAAAACGCACGAGAAGCTGAGTGTGCATCCTCCTCCATCATTAAGTCAAGGAACCGGTGAATTAAGGCAGCAAAGTAGTGCCAGTTTGCTTTCTGTCAGTATGGTAGCTTCCAGCTCAACGAGCAGCTTTTCTGAGAGCATGGCAGGACAAAATCTCGACACTCGACTCAAGGAGAACAAAGCTGGGCTTGGTCAGGGTGGATCAGTCGAACACCGGTCCCGCAGTATTCCATTCATGGGGATCATGGATAAAACTGTACGCTTCCAACAGCAGCAGATGAACCCATCAAATCGCAGTTGGCACTGCCAAGCTACAGAAGGGGTCCCGAAGAGTTCTGGGACAACTTTATCTGCAAGCTGTGAGTTTTCTTCCAAACCACCAAGCAACTCTGCAAGTCAGGGCTCGTCTTTCTTTTCTTCTTCCCTAATAATAGGAGACAATCTCCAAAATGGAACTCAGTCAAAAGACCTGGAGGAACTAAAGCACCAAGCATCTGCCAGCCCTCAAGAGAACAGGATAGGTAAGCCAGTGGCTCATTTATATCAGGAAGCTCTCTCCAAACAGCATTCTCAGCTGAGCAAAGACATTCATTCAAGTCACATCACTTCTACAAAACCAAAGCGATCTTTTGTAGAATCTAACGTATGATTCATTGTTCTAGGGCAAATTAATAACAGGGATGAACCGTGGCTTTTGGTTGTAAAACTTAACTGCAATAGTGGCATTTAGGTTACTGCTATTAATCATATTTTAGGGAGCATATCACAAAAATGTGATCTTATAGCTGCAATATGAACATTAATCTAGCTATCCTGTCCTTTTAATTGAAATATGTTCTTAAGGTGTTTGTTAACACAGTTGAAAAGTTCCATCATTTATGCCAAACCTTGCAAGTCTGGGTTTATGCAGCCTGCGGCAGTATAGCAAACTAATCTTTCTTAAATGTTTTTCTTTTAAAAATCTGCAGTCCTGAAGCTGCAGTGGTATATACACTCACTGGGGACTAAGTCTCGATGAACATAAGTACAATTTACTTCTCAGACTATAGGATTGTGTTGTAAAACTCACTTTGTTTGGTCATGTATATTGTTTATTGTTTAAATTGGGTTAATTGCTTCCAGAGGATGGAATCCACAGAACCTTTACTTTTGTCAGTGAATATTTTCTTAGAAGGAAGATTGACTGTTATTCTCCCACTTTTATAAATATGGCAGATATAACTTACATCATCTCTACAAATATTTCAGCAGCGATATATTTTTTTCCCCATGCAATTGAGGCTGTCTTATCATTATTGCAAGGGAAGAAGTAAAATTTTGCATGCATTTTATTCAACATCTTTGTTATTGCACTGAGTCACATGACAAGTTAACAACATACAATCGGCACTTTACATAGTTTATCTAAACATCTTTTGAGGTGTTATATCAGAAAAGCAAGAGACAAACAGGTCATAGAGTATTTTTTATAGAACATCTAATATCTATCCGAGGGAAAAGCTTACACAAAGGCCACTGATACTTTCCTCAATATTGCAGTAGGAAATATCTATTTAAATTACAAATTGTTCTTGAAGAGGCACATTTTGTAAGGATGTTCCTGTAAGTAATAAAAGGTTGGTTGTATAAGCTGGAAAATTCTGTAGTCCCTTTAACAAATTATTCCCATATGTACAGAATGTATGTTACGTTATAACAACTTCACACATTTTTTTTTTAAAAAAAGCATTAAAAAGTCTGTTTTGGAATGACTTAATCTATTCTGTAGCTTATTTATTGTTTATCTTGATATTTGTACAATCTTATTCTCTTGTTCTGTAGATCTATTTTTTGCACAGCTACTGTATTTTTCTCTTATTAAATAAAAGATTATTAATATAGTTTCTGGTTCAGTAGTGTAGTTTTACAGCACAACACTGAGCGGTCACCACTAACGCAAGTTTGATTAGGATCCATTTCAAACGTAAAATATATGAACAATCTGCGTGGATCACTTCTCTCTTCCAAAAATTGTTGGAACACAGGTGAGTGTTTAATATTTGTAGATCAACTCAACAGGCTGATCTCCAATGAGCTGATAATTATTCCATGCCAAAACTTTGGTTGAATTGTCAACCTTATATCTAGGCTGGCACTTCTGGAAAGGCACTGAAATGGGAGTGTACTGCAGTTCTACAAAGTTATAATTGATCATGAGATGCCCTTTTAGTTAAACTGTGCATAGTTTTGAGTTTTTCATTTCATTCTTGATCATAGTCCTCTGAAGACTGTTTGTAAATAGCTAATAAAAAGATGATTTGTTTCAGGTCTGGTAGTAAGTAGTGGTAATTCTGCTGTTAACACTTACTAAGTCATGCAAAATGTTACTGCACAGGTTCACGCCAACTTGATAAATGTCCTAGAAAATCTCAGAACTGGAAAGGTAACTTCAGTCTCTTGCTCCTTGCGCTAGCTCTTTTCTGAGCTCAACAAAACATGACACCAGACCCATCTCACAAAGGTATTTGGAAGAAGGCTGGGCGAGGCGGGAAAATCTTTTGATCCCAAAGATCTAAGCACCTGTTGCTCTCTGTCAGGGCCACGGTGTTCCTCCATTCTTTGGAATAAACAGGAACATAAATATGTACATTTAGAGATCCAGGACAGAGACAAAAAAAACCATGTACCTCTCTGGCCTCAATTCTGTATTTCTGGTCTACTATGGGCTGGGCCCGGGGAGTTTTGGGAAGCTCTGATATCCGAATAAGCTACCGTAGGAAAAGGCACATCATTACTTTGTTGGTTGCTAAATAACTTTTTACAGAGCATAATCTATTACAAGCTGTATATTTTCTTGAAATTAATAAAACTTACATTCTATCCCATGCATACATAATCAAAACCAAGTCCTACTGTCGTCTATGGAATCCATTAATATAAATATCACTTCAGCCAGAATTTTATTCAGTAACAGACACTTAAATCATTTGTAATACCCAATAGCTGACAATCGTCAAGGATCAAGGTACTTGAACTAATGTCATCAATTACCCCCACAGTAACAAAAGTGTACTGTATCCATAGGCAGCAGCTGAAATGTTTTACATACCTTTAGATTTTGTTTCCTCTAATTTTGAAAAAAAAATGACAGTCTTTAAAGTGCTTGCTTTTCATTATATTTTGGCTGAGTTTCCAACCAGCGATTAATTGCCATTTTTAGGGTTCGGTTTGGGGTAAGTACAAGTCTCTGAAGAGGGAGATTTGTCATAGGACTAGAACGCCGTTTTTTAATTATCCAATTTTCCATTGCTTCCTTCTCATAGGAATAGCCATCTAAAAAAAGAAACAAACATTCCTGAAAACAAGTGCTCTGCAAATCATACCTTAAAGCAAGATATCTCTAGTCTATTCAGATAGGAAATGGACCAACTTCGTATCAATAGATACCAATGCACATCTATTATCTAGAAGAAATCAGTATGAACTTAGCAACTGCATCCTTTGACTCTAACTCAGTAAGAATCTACTGATGTACAGACGTAAAAGATTAATACAATGTAGAAAATTTCATTAAATACATTTTAATGTTGCACAAAATCTTTCAGCACCGCTGCTTGAAGTGACTGAAGTGTCATGTCTTTTACATCTTTTACAGCCACACTGAAGGCTCCTGCTGCTTTGGCAGCAATTCAGACTGGAAATGCTGTCTGCTAGTCATTCATATTCAGACGCTCTGGGGCGGCTCCTGAAGCAGCCATGCAGAGCTGTTTGAAAGGCTCCAGCGTGGCGAATTGATCCAAATAGGTTGCACAGCCATAATACATACATCTCTACCAAGCTGGGGTCGGGTATGCTGGCTCTATATGTGGAGGGCCCCTGTTGCAGAGAATTGTGCTACGTGAAGAGGCCTTTCTTGGCAATTTAAATTTGCAGAATCTGGACTGTACAAGGATTATCTTCACATACTGAATTTTTTTCACCCGCAGTATGTAAACAGGGAAGGCATGTTTTTTCCTGCTGCCCTCAAAACTAAATCCTGTGTATTATACTTAACGGATGACAGCCTCATGAAAGACTACAATTTTTATGTACTAGAACAGGGGTAGGCAACTTTGGCTCTTTTATGACTCATGGACTTCAACTCCCAGAATTCCTGAGCCAGCATGGCTCAGCTTGGAAACCTCTCCCTTTCCCCTCAGCATGGCTGGCTCAGGAATTCTGGGAGTTGAAGTCCACGACTCATAAAAGAGCCAAGGTTGCCTACCCCTGTACTAGAAGGACATTTTTATAATTGTAGGCAAAACCTTTGCCCCAAAATAAAAAAAATACAGGTTTGACAAAAATTGAGATTGCACAGATTTGACAAAGACCCATTCTCAATAATGCCAAATAAGGATATAAACTTACGGAATAATGAAGGAACTTGCAAATAAAATATTTTCCTTGTATTTTAAACATTATTCAGTTTTACATAGCTGCAACCACTTGTGGGGCAGAACGTAGGTTTTACAAATAGAAAAGGGTGAGCAGCAGGCCTTTGCAGCCCCACTTGCATAAATGGCAGGTGCAAGCATTCATAGCCCCACTTAACGTGAGTGGCGGGCCCTGGCGCTCACAGCCCCAGTCATGCAAAAACATCCCTCCTCCCTTACGTGCAGGGCCATCCGCCCGGAAAGGCTGGGGAACACTGCTTTAGAAAGCCACTACATAAACTTTAGAAAGTTAGCCTTCATAATTAAGGAATCAAATAATTTGTACAAAGCAATTTTGTACAGTCAGATCATGACCAACCGAACTAGCATTTATAATTTTGTTCAGATAATTTTTTAAAGTGCACATACTATACTGGTAATTTTTATGTTTTTTTTAGTTTTTATGATTACTGTTCTTTTTAAGCACTATTACCTTTGAAAGTTTTTCTTTATAATGTGACTTTTTCTAGAAGCAGCAAAAAGGCAGCGATGACTTGAATATATATGCACAACTCTTCAAGCTATATAGAAATAAACTGAATATCTCTCTCTGTGTTTGGGTGTGTGTGTGCGCACGCGTGTGTGTGTGTGAGACAGAGAGATGGAGAAAATAATATGAAGTTACAGTATATAAATAATATGTGTAGTAGTAATAGCAATATCTATCTCACTGTTTTAAGATAGTGTAAGAATTAAAATACTGTATTCCAATCAAATATGTCTGAACCTCATACCGTATAGTCATTCATCAGACAATATGAATATTTTCTCATGTGGAAGTAATTGATTTCCATGAAATTAAAATGACGGAATAAAAAAGTATCACTAAACATTTTCTACTGATGGATAAACACATCTCACTCTCACTCTCCCAGTTTGCTAAAAATGAGCTAGAACTCTCAGTATGTTGAGTCTGTTACTTTAATCCTGAGTTTAAAATTAATTTCCAAAAACTCATCACAAAGCTGTCAAAGGAATAATCAAAACTGCTACACAGAGTCCCTTGTGTCCTAAGCTTTTCATGTATAAAATAGAAGCACAAAATTGTGACGTGACTAGGAGATAAATGCAGTTATCAGGCCTGATTCAGTTCTGCTATGAAAAAGAAATAACATATAAATGTACTGCCAATTTTTGTAGAGGCCGTTGCCTACTTACTTAAGTCACATAGACTTTCCAAAGAATTTGGAAATTTGTAATCTACTTTCCCTCACCTCCCTTTTGAAATAAGAATGAAATAATTTAGTGTATGCAACATTCAGATATAGTCTTCCTTAATGCAGGCATCAAGAACGTGGGCTTTCAAATGTGGGGGTCTCCATTTCCATCATGCTTAGTTACTATAGCTATTTTTCAGGGAAGATTTATAACTTCATATGGCCACCCATCCAATAAACAGGACTTGCGGCAGCTAACAATTAAAAACAGAGTAAAATCAATAACCAAAATTATAAATGGCATCAAATAGCAACAGAGGACTTTACTACACCCCACAACTGATAACAACCAGGAACTGGGCTCACCCTATATTATCAGGACTCCTGGCTTGATAGCAAAACCAGATAATTAAGGCCCTGTGAAAAGCCAAAAGTTCAGGGTGAGTTTGATCTTTGGGAGATGATATTCCAGAGAGTGGGCACCATAACATCTTTCTAGTCCCACCAGCAGTCCCGCCACCTGCTGGATCTAATAGGGTGGGCAGTTACCAATATGGAGGCTCACAGCTTCCTAATTCCTACTTCAGCAGAAATAACTTCCCAACCCAACCTTCTAGTATAAACAGTGCATTTCTGGCAGGTAATCACAGAAGATTCCTCATTTTTCTGTCAGATCTCAGTTTGCCTTGTTCTTCCTCAGCTAAATTCCTTGATCACTGTTGCTGGCTTGCTGGCTCACTCTAGCCAGCACGGGTTTGTTAAAAACAGATCATGCCAAACCAAGCTTATTTCATTCTTTGATAAAGTGACCAAATTAGTAGACCAGTGAAACGCTGTGGACGTAGTATACTTAGATTTCAGTAAAGCATTCGACAAAGTAAACCACAATCTACTGCTTGGTAAGCTAGAAAAAGGTGGAATAGACAACATCACCACCAGATGGATCTGTAGCTGGCTGACAAACCGTACTCAACGAGTAGTCCTCAATGGTACTACATCCACATGGGAGAGAAGTAAGCAGTGGGGTACCACAAAGCTCCATCTTAGGCCCAGTACTCTTCAATATCTTCAATGACTTAGATGAGGGAACAGAATAGGAACTCATCAAATTTACAGATGACACTAAACTGGCAGGAATAGCCTACACCCCAGAAGACAAGCTCAGAATCCAAAAAGATCTAGACTAACTTGAACAATGGGCCCTATCCAACAAAATGAGTTCGAATGTGGAGAAAAGCAAAGTTTTACATTTAGGCAGGAAAAATCAAAGTTATAAGTACAGATTAGGTGAGACCTGGTTCAAAAACAGTGAGAGGGACCTTGGAGTCCTAGTGGATGAAAAATTGACTATGAGCCAGCAATGTGCAGCAGCAGCCAAAAAAGCTAATACTATCCTGGGTTGTATAAACAGAGGCATAGAATTAAGATCATGCGAAATATTAGTATTTATAAAACCCTAGTGAGACCACACCTGGAATATTGCAACCAATTTTGGTCACCATACTACGAAAAAGATGTTGAGACCTTGGGAAAAGTTCAGAGAAGAGCAACTAAGATGATCCAAAGCCTGGAGACTAAAACATACGAAGAACGGTTGCAGGACTTGGGTTTGGCTAGTCTAAAGAAAAAAAGAAATAGGGGTGACATGATAGCAGTATTCCAGTATTTGAGAGGCTGCCACAAAGAAGAGGGGGTCACATTATTTTCCAAAGTACCAGAGGGTAGGACAAGAAACAATGGTTGGAAACTGATCAAAGAGAGAAGCAACCTGGAATTAAGGAGAAAGTTCCTAACAGTGAGGACAATTAACCAGTGGAACAGCTTGCCTCCAGAAATCGTGGGTGCTCCAACACTGCAGGTTTTCAAGAAGACACTGGACTAGAAGACCTCCAAGATCCCTTCCAGCTCTATTTCTATTCTATTCTATTCTATTCTATTCTATTCTATTCTATTCTATTCCTATTATTCTATCCTTATTGCCTGATGTCTTCCTAATGTAGGAATGATGCCTGACGGGGAGCTGCTTGCTGATAAATGCAGTTCTAGCCACTAGCAGTCACTTGATTACTGAGTCAGATACATCTGTAAGTTCAGACTGTGTGCTCAGCAAACAAGCAAACCTATCCCAGGGCCAAGAATCCACACCATTCCACAAAATCAGCCAAATGCCCCTCCTCTACCTCAGATCACCTTTGTAACTTGTAAGCTCCCTTATAAAATGCTTATGTTCCTGTATGTTCTCATATACATGTGAGCTCTATGTTTTTACAAACTTTATACATAATGGAGAACTGAACAGAATGATAGCCATTCCATAAATCTTTGCCAGAGAGATGATGCTTTAAGGAAGCTAGGTTGACAGATTGTTTACACGATTAAAGCAATCTCCTCCCATTATTCAAATCTAGTAGTGTTCAATTGACAAACATATGTCCATAGATTATATGCAATTCTATTAAGTTTGAAGTGTATGTATATTCTAAGATTATATAATAATAATAATAATAAAGTTGGAGGTCATCGAGTCCAACCCCCTGCTCAGGCAGGAAACCCTATAGTTTTATTGTTTTAAAATGTTTTAATATTTTGATTATAATATGTTTTTAGAGACACTGACTGAGATGGAGAAAAAAAAGAAAGAAAAAAGAAGAAAAAAGAAGGAAGGAAGGACTTAATTTTAAATGAAGCAGTAAATTGCATCTAAATTCCCTTGAAATAGTAGGTTTGGGGTTTGAGGACACACTCAAATGTGAAAACTAAGTGCCCTGGCTTTTTAAATAACTCTTTAAAAATGATTATAAATTTGAGAACCAAGCAAGAGTTGTACATGCCAGATTGAAAGGGCCAACATTCAAGGGGAACCTTCGACTGTCCTTGCAAGCTTGCAGAAAAACTCTTAAAACCAGGAAATTTTCAACAACATCACAAACAGATCAGTCTCTGAGGGTCAGAATTATGCTGGCTTGATAAGGGATTAAAAGGCACTGGGATCAATTTAAGAACATTAAACCCATCCCCGAACTTTCAAAACAGTCAATTTAAAATAATTCAACATTTTTAAAGAACAAACAGTATTTTTAAAACCAAAAACTGTTATTAATAATCAGGTATGAGAAAAGCTCCAGCTTCTGGCTTCATACAATTTTGCTTCAGATTTAATGAGATATTCTATATCTCTTTCATGCATCTTGGAAATGACAAATGTGAACATTACACAGTATTGGGCAGCCAGTTATACACATACCAAATGTGAACATAGAAAAGCCATCCACTGGACACACCCTCCATCATATGTAATATAGTATTGCAAATTGTCTAATAGATTTTCACTCTATCATGATTATACTATGGCTCATTTCTATTGGTTTCTGGGAATGTAATCAACATGGTGATAATTAAAACTAAAAATGTTTTCTCTGTGCCTTTGATAGAAAAAGATTATACATAACTTGCTTTATAAACATATATTCTTCATTACTAAATCTCTACCAAATGATAAATACAGCTAAGCCATCTTCAGTACGCTTACCTGCGGCAATCACTGGCTCTTTCATAAGTTCTTTGGTTATGGGGCACAGGAATTCATCAGGAATATCTAGAGAAGCAGATTTCATCTCATTCCTGAGCTCCTCAATGTTACGCAAAACTTTACCGCGAAGACCTAGAGATTCTGGAAAAGTTATATCAGACTTTTTAGTGACTAGATTTAACTGGAAAAATAATACAAGGCACTGTACAGTTAATTATGTAAAATGATTTTTTTATGTAATTCTCCTAAATATTAAAAGCTAAAATTATGTCTTTCTTAAATTTGCAGAGAGAACACTTCAAACGATGGTCTTATGTAAAGCTACCTGTAATAGGGACAATATAAAATGAAAACATTACATTCACTTTTGCCTACTTATGTTTAGCTCAAGTGACAAAAAGACATTATAAAAACAGAAAAAAATTTATAGCCAAGAAAATAAGCATGAACACATATGGCACGACATGGCCAAATAGTATCTCTAAATGGCCATGTTTTGTTATGCTGTTTGTAAAACCAGACACACTTTGATTGCATCAGTAATCCTGTAGTAAATTATATTGTTTTATTTTGTTTCAGTTGCTGCTCACTTGTTGAATTCTAGTCAGTGAGTGTAATAAATATCACAAGTACTGTATCATCTCCATCTGAAGAAACAAAAGAGCTTTGTAATTCCACCCTGGATTCAATTTTTAAAAAAGACAATGTAAATTTATTTCAAATTTGGAAACGAATTGGGTAGGAACTTATTAGAGTGGTGCCTAATTGCTGATGATCCACCTGGTGGTCATCTTCCCAACCAATAAATGTTTCTAGAGAATTTAAAAAAGAGAGAGAGAGCACAAGAGCTAAGCAATTACTATAAAATAATAAAAGATGGTCCATTGTCTTAATTTTCAATTTATGAATTTCTTTTTTTTATACAAAGCTTATTAAATCTGAGAAACGTATTTTTCAAAAGGGCAAAAGTACTCGTAGCTCTTAACAGACTTTTGCTGAACTGAATGATGAGTTTTATAATTTGATTACTAATAAGGAGTGAGATGTGGGGGAAAGAGATTTTTTTTTTAAAGATCTGAAGTAATTTGTTTTTGTCTAAAAGGAGAGGGCAGTCAACTTTTGTATATTTTGTATTTTTTATCTCTGAATCTCAGGCCAGCAAGGAACAAATGTCTGCATCTTCTTCATTTTTTAAAAAAAAAAATCTTTTCTAATGTAACCAATTCCATGATTTGTTTAAATTTTATTTATTTTATTTATTAAAATTATGCCCAGCTCACTATCTAAATTATGTGATAGTGTGAGTAGTGGATGGGTGTGCCATATCAAAGTATCAGAAGGTCTTTGGATTCAACACATCTTCAGCACATCTCCTTTCCTCTTTTTGGGATGTTGCAACATGCCAGCCTCAGAGGCTGGTAGAAGAAACTGAATTTCACTTTTGTTTCCTGAAGTCCGACATTCTATCTGAACTGGGAAAATGCAAGCAATCCTGTAGTTATTCGGATTTCTCTCGAAGACCATAAGACTGCAGTCTCAGGAAACGTTAATTTAAATTATCACAATTATTACTGCCATTTGTTAATGTTATTTCTCTTTCAAAATACTAAGCTAGAAGATTTCAAAAGTTAAAATTCAGAGAAATTACAGCTATTAAACTATCACTTTTTTAAACTATTATTGCTCTTGAATTTTACAAAAAAAGTTAACACAGTTGAAGTAATAATGCTGAAAACATTAATTTTGTCAAAAAAAAGGAAGAAAAATCTCTGGGATGTTGGCCTACTCAAGGAAAAGGTTTCTGACATAAACGAGGCAAAAATAATAAATTCTTTTCAAGTTGTGGAGATCAGAATCTATACAAGTTCTGAAAACAAAAGAAGAACAGTTTAAGATATGTTGTATGTATAATATTAAAAGAAAAAGTCCTCATAAGGATTTTTCAAAAATAAGATTCTTTTTCTTGTTTTCAAATTAATCTATCTCTACATTACTTTGACAGGAAATATTGAATCAGGATATAATATTATTAGGTAAAGTTATATAGAATAGTGTTATTCTGTTCTATAATGATCATGATGAAGAGGGCCTGCACAACTGTTTTCAATCACAGTCCTAGTCCAACCGAGTTAAACATCAGGAAGACAAATTTATATTTATATTCTAAGAAATATTGTGCAGTGAAACAGTGGAGAAATGACACACACCTGCAGGTACACCTGCCTTCTTCCTATTCAGTTAGCTTTATTAGAATTATGGAGATCAGCAAATTCTGCTAACATATTTTATATTTTGTTTATCCACTTTATATTACAGATCTCATTATGATCAACTCTGCCAAGTTTCTTCTTATTTTTCTGTTTGTAGCTAGTAATTAATTCTCAGTGGTGTCATTAAAAGTCCCTGTACACTGACGTGTTATTATGTTGATATTTCGACAGAGTGCTGATGCACTTGCGGGAGGTCAGCCTATCGTCAGTCCCACTGATTTCAATTTTTAATATAAGCCTATCATCAGCATTATCTAATTAGTCTCAACTGATAAGCTTTGGCAACTTTGGTACCCTTGAATTCAATAAAATGCACCAAAGCTCTTGATGGAACAAAAGGGAACAATTGTGAAAATTATCTGTGATTTCCATGTATACAAAACTCAGATAATTTTCATATATACCAATATATATTTTCATATAATTATTTATAGAATAATAGTGATTTTTAAAACTTAGATGATTTGATGAAATGGCTTTGTGGTTCTCACCAGAAGTACAACCAATAGTAAACACGATTAAAAGACTAACAAAAAGGAAGATCATTCATTTTCAAATGCATTTGATTCATAAATCAATTGCATTCAATAGGTTATTTATTGTTAAAACCAACTCTGTTATACAATCCTCATCCTCACTTGTTTGTATTATCAAATCATTATTTGATTACCTGTATGATTGTTTCATTAAAAAAAATCTGACAAGGACTAAAATCAAGGAATAGAATCTATTTGATTACAAGAGACAAGTCATCTGTATCTTTTACATGAAAAGGCAATGAAGTTCTATAACTTGTTTATTTAGGTCTAAAAACTGTTGCTTGGTTTCCACGCCAAAAAAACCCTATATAAAATTATTTATTAAATGATAATCAATTGATAATACCATCGGTTCATATGAGAATGGAATATTTTGACAACCTGGACTTGTTAAATGTTACATGTTCATATTGTTCTACATGAGACAAAAAAATTCAAACATTCCTAAAACGATCAATGTTACTAATAACTATGTTGGGGTTTTTTGTATAAATTATGTTCAGAGTAGATCAGAATGTTCAGCTTAAATAATACTGTAAAATACTTCATTCAATTGTCTTACCGATTTTTAAATCATCAGTCAAGCTCTCTTTTGTAAGATTTAACAATTCTTTACCATCAATATTGTTTCTTTTAAAAATCTCAACTAGGTCTTGTAAGTTATGTGTTTGAAGCCAAACAGAAACATCTTCTTCTGTCCAGTTATCAACAGAAATCTTTGATTCCTTTATCAGAGGACTTCCTGAGAAAAGATTAAAATGAACTCACGTAACTAAATAACATATATTAAAAGAAATAATTAAAACATTGCTCCAAGTGTGAAGGGTGGCACAAATATAACACTTATCCTCTTTTTTTGCATCAGATTTTAGCAAATGCAACATAACATAAATCTTCTTGATATGCTATACAATTAGAAGGCAAATATTACTTTATTATTTGCTTTTAATGTATTGATTCAGACATGTGTTCAACATGTTTCCTTGTGCTGTTAGAAAAACTTAATTTTTTTAACCTGATTCATTTTTCTGTCTGTGTTTCCCCAAAAAAAGTACTTTTGGAAGACTGAGAGATACTTGAGAACAGCACAATTCACAAAGCCATGGGCAACAGGGAAAGAGTGGTAAGAAAAGCCACTCTATTCTCTTCTTCCAATGTACAGCTTCTGGAGGATCCTATTTTCTCAACTAATGGAGAGGGACAGTCTATACCAGACATGTCAAACACAAGGCCTGGGGGCCAGATGCGGCCCGCAAAGTGGTTTCATGTGGCCCGCGAAGCCATCCTGGAAACAGTGAGGGAACGGCCCCCGCTACCTTGGCCCTGGCCCAGGCTAGCCGGGAGCCAATGTACAATTTTGTGGTGGCCATCTTGGCACTTGCCTCGGTGGACCACGCCTTGGCACTTGCCCCGGTCCCACCCTTCTGCCAGAGACCCTCAGATCTGTCCCACTCCTGCCCAAGCCCCCATAGGCACCCTTGACACAAATGATGTAGAACTGGCCACACCCACCCAGTAGGCCACACCCACTCCATCCACGCCCACCCAGTAGGCTGCACCCACTCTGGCCACACCCACCCGGCCCCCCCAGGACAACCGCAATGCTGATACGGCCCTCAGTGAAATTGAGTTTGACACCCCTGGTCTATACCTAATACACTGCCTTACTGTTTTCATTATGTGATATTTTAAAGCTTTTGTAAAAGACCAAATAACAATCAAAACAATCAAAAATACAATTAAAATGTATCTTTCTTTGAATTGCAATAGGATAAGAAACTCTTGCTTGAGTCCCCTTTGAGGCCAAACAGAGACAAGAGTGACTAAGCTGAATTGCCAGCTTGAAAATAGCCTGGGAATAACTTGCCTTTGATTATAAATAAAGATGCAATCATCCAGGGTGGTACAAAAATTGCTTAGTGCTTCTACTGAGGAAACAGACATGGGTTCATCCTTAGGCAATTTCTTTAACTACAAATGAGTGTCAATCCCTTTAGATATGCCTACATACCAAATGTAATGAGAAATTGATAAAGTAATAAGAACATTCATTTTGTGGGAGATATTAATTGGTTGGGGCAGGTGAGGTGCTAGCCTATTTTAGATGGTTGGCTACAATAATTATCTTGTATAGTGATTGGATTGCTTGAGTTGGCCACTAGAACAACAAACTAATATTCATTGAAAAGTATGTAAGAACACAATGATTTAATCCTGGATTAATACTGTGAACAGACATGTGTGATTTAAGCCTGGTTGGATAAAAATGGGAGGGACAATTTCATCCAACTGTACAATTGGATTTCCAAATATGTCTTTCAAAAATTACTGAATAGGAATTTTTCTTGGAAGAAAATTGATTATTTCTAATTTAGGCTTGGGATTAAATGAGGAAGGCTGCTGTTTGGAGCCTTACTTGAGACAAAAGGCAACAAAGAAATTATTTTACATATAAAAGTATGTAGGTTTAAACTTCGGTGGTAATGATGTAAAACAAATTGATATAATGTTTACAAGGCAGGAGACAAAAACGTTTTGGTACTGACCTGTGAAAAGTTGTTCTGGTTCCAGTTGCCAGATATGGACACATTTATCCATTGAACCGGTAGCAAATAATGGCATATCTGGTGCAAAGGCACAAGTTGTAACATATCTAGAAATAACAAGTTCCTTGATAAATATATGTCACACTTCAAATGCTATCCTTGTAATAATAATAGCAATAGCAATAGCAATAGCAATAGCAATAGCAATAGCAATAGCAATAGTAATAATAATAATAATAATAATAATAATAATAATAATAATAATAATAATAATAATAATAATAATAATAATAAATGCCAGATTATTCCACCTCCTTTACATGGACTATCTGAAGCTGTATGGAAAAACTCCATCTGAAATAGAATCACTGCTCAACACTGTCCATATATATAGCCAAGATATTACAATGGAGTGTGGATTGCCACACTCACTATCAAACAAGGAAAAATAGTGAAAACTGAAGGAATCAAGATGCCCCACGAAAATAGCATTAAGAGTCCGGATGAAGATGATTACTATAAATACCTGGGCATCCTGCAAGCTGACAATATCAAGCACACTGAAGTCAATAAAAAGATTAGAGGTGAATACACCAAGAGAGTGAAGAAGATCTTAAAGTCCAAACTCAATAGAGGAAATAGCATCAAGGCAATCAACACCTGAGCAATTCCAGTCATTAGATACACAGCTGGAATAGTGAACTGGACTCAAGCAGAACTAAAAGCCATGGATAGGAAGACCAGAAAAATAATGACAATGAATCACGCCCTTCATCCTCGCAGCGACATACAGACTCTACCTACCAAGGCAAATAGGTGGGTGTGGAATGTTGCAAGTACATCAGATGGTTGAAGAAGAAGAAAGGGCTTTGGAAGAATATCTGAAGGACAATGAAGAAGTTAGTATGCCAGGAAGGCTTACTGACTACTGGAAAGGCCAAACTGGCCTACAAGAAAGACCAAATGAAGAACAGAATGGAGGCATGAAAACACAAAGCACTACATGACCTGTACATTAAAAAAAAAATAGCAGAGAAAGCAGATAATAACAAGACCTGGCAATGGCTAAGAGCAGGAAAGTTGAAGAAAGAGACTGAGGGACTAATTCTGGCTGCACAAGACCAAGCCTTAAGGACAAATGCATACAAAGCCAGAATTGAGAAGATAACAACAGACACTAAGTGCTGCCCATGCAAAGAAACTGAAGAAACAGTGGACCATCTGGTAAGCTGCTGCAAGAAGATCACCCAGAGTGACTACAAACAACGGCATGACAAAGTAGCAACAATGGTGCATTGGAAGATCTGCAAGAAATATCATTTGCCTGCAAGCAAGAACTGATCGGACCATAAAATAGAGAAAGTCATCGAAAATGAAGAAGTTAAATTACTCTGGGACTTTAGAATTAAAACAGACAAGCACCTGTCACATAACACCCTGGACCTAACAATTGTCAATAAGAAAGACAAAAAAGTCTGGATAGTGGATTTGGCAGAGCCTGGAGGCAGCAGAATAGAAGAGAAAGAACTGAAGAAGATAACAAAACACAAAGACCTATAAATAGAAATAGAAAGACTGTGGCAAAGGCAAGCAAAGGTAGTACCAATAGTAATAGGCGCCTTGGGTACAATACCAAAACAACTGGAGTACCACTTGAATGCCATTGGCATTGACAAATTCACCACCAGTCAATTGCAAAACGCGGCTTTACTGGGAATAGCTTCTATCCTGCAATGATATCTGTAACACCATCAAACATCCAGATCTACCAATCCCAGGACCTTCGGAAGGACTCGAAAGGTAGACAAAAATGCCAAACCCAGTCTGAACATGAGGCTGTGCAGTGATCAATACTACTACTACTACTACTACTAATATATAGTAATATACTAATACATGCTAATGGCCTACCTGGTATGCTGAGTCAAAATGTGTAGGTTGCTCCCAGTGTTCTGTCCAAAATAAACAAAGAAACAAACAAATGATAAGGGAATTTACAATTAATCTATACACCATTTTTATATCCAAAAATTATAGGTGTACATAATACATTTACAGATACAGTATCTATAATTAATACAGAAAACTGAATTTATTAAAAATTGCAGTAAATCATTATCAAACAGAGAAGAATTCCAAAACTACAAGTATCCCTTACTCAACTGGGCTTACAGGAAAAAAACCATTACCCAATATTTATATATATATTTGAAGATTATTTAGGATTACAATAGTCTTCAAAAATATTAAGAAATAACATAAAGGTGACTAGAATTAATTATGCTGCCACCTAAGTTAAATGGATAACAAATCCTGTAGTTGGCATCTAACACCACTAGATGCTACTCTTCACATTGTTCTACTTCCATTGGAAAAGCTATTTTTTAGTATATAGTTTCCTATAATAATTTTTCTCATTCTTAATGTGCCATAAAAGTCTTTATTATTTTTGCAATTCATAATTTTCTCTAAAATTTATCTAAAATAAGACATTGCAGTATTATACATACAGTATTTAAATTCATCTCAGAAAAACTAAGGAAAATATTCCAAAATTAACTATTAAAATGTCCTGTGATTGTATACAAAAACAGGTTTGCAATAAAAAAACTTACAAACAGATAGCAAGTACATGCTTGTTTTTAATTACTGTACTATATTTCATTGCATTGGCCTATATTCACTATCATACAAGTGCTTATACAACTTGCTATCTGCCCATCACTCGTCACTATAAGGTCCATCATATGCTTTATTCCTTGTCATATTATTTGGATCGCATATACTCCGAGCCAAAGTAAAACTATACAGCTACAGACTCTTTTCCTCAGAGAATCTCTCTACAAAGCCGAAGAATCTACCTTGCTATTTGGTGTATCAAATCCCCATTTTGTATTTTTAACTTTCAAAGATATTTGGACTAACAGTGAGTAAAACTTTTGTATCATTTAAAGACAGACATATTCCTCTAGAGTCTAGAATCTAGACTCTACATGATCAAAAAGTACATGGAGAAAAATACCAGTGTCAGGTTTCAGTTGAGACTGCAATCCTTTCCACATTAACAATACATAGGACAGTGATGGCGAACCTTTTAGAGACTGAGTGCCCAAACTGCAACCCAAAACCCACTTATGTATCATTGGGTGCCGATTGGGCATGGCCCATTGGGTGGGTGTGACCCAAATGGTGGGCGTGGCTGCAGTGGTAACAGCAGACTGGGTGGGACTAAAAAGTTCAATCAATCAATTCCAACTTTGCGAGATCTTTTTTTCCCGCGAGAAGTTAAAATTGATTAATTGAACCTTTTTTTTTGCGCACATGGCGGTGAAGGCCTAAAGTGAAAAGGTTTTATAAAACCCAGCTAAAGGCCTAGGACTGGGGTGACGGCGCGCATGCCCACAGAGAGGGCTCTGCGTGCCACCTGTGGCACGCGTGCCATAGGTTCGCCACCACGGATATAGGACATTAAAAACGCCTTTGTCTCCTCCCCCCCAAAGTTTTTTTTTTCATCTGCATCAGAAAATTGCAGCCTCCTTAAATTTGGTAAATGGCTGACAAAATGTATCCACTGGCAGATAGTTGACCCTGGGTATAACCCATCTTTTAAAACTTTTTTTTTAATTTAAATATATAGTTTTTAATGAAGTAGAGCATTTTCTGGTTGTCAAGAATAGAAACAGAAATGATCTTTTTCTACACCCTGTAAACTACTTGGAATTGTAAAGCAAACAAGTGACATATAAATATTCTAAATACTTTTTTCAAATAATTCTGTGGAATAACAAGCAGATTCAAAGGGGGGAAAAAAGCTCAAGCAAATACCTGGCCTACACAGCTTATCATGGAATAAGTTACTGAATAAGCAAATTTTGCAATGCCTACTAATAGAAAAAAGAATGTTAATATATTGTTATCCTTGCATAATGAGGGCTTTCCCTCTTACATACTTAAATACTTACAGTTTCAAAAATCATTACAGTTTTGTCCACAGACCTAGTGAGAAAACAAAGATGAAATAACATAACTGTATCAGAACTCATCCTTCAACAGTTAAAAAAAAGGTTTTAATTGTCCAAGAATCAGAAGAGTGTGAATAGCAAACAGTGAGCATAAGCTCAGTGTTAGAGCACAGTGATTATTATGAATAGTTAACTTTACAATAACCTCCTCTGAAACTCAAAGGGAATGAAAAGAAATCCAGGAGGATAAGAATCATTAAAATAATCTGTTGAACATTTTAAAAGCTGAGACTCCAATCATTAAGAATTCTATAGTTATCTCTAATGGAGTAATATATATACTTCTTAAATGATTTTGCTTGTTGGTTTTGATTTATATTCTGTGTACAGGTAGTCATTGACTTATGACCAGTCACTTAGCAACCACTCGAAGTTACGATGGACCCCGCCAGGGCTACTTACAACCCAAAATTCCAACAGCCCCCAGCACAATTATATTTTGGGTGCAATTTACGATGTTTTTTTTTACCCAAGCCCAACATTTTCTTCAGGAAAACTGCCTATTGAAGACAATGGGTTCACTTAATGGCTGCTGTGTTCACTTAAGTTGTGGTGACTCGTTTAATGACTGCTGCAAAAAAGGCTGTAAAATCAGACACATGTGTTAGTCATGCTTAACGACAGGCATGACCTATGACCATAATTCCAGGCTCAATTACAATCATAATTCAAGGACTACCTGTATCTCTGATCCACTGCTTGAACAAAAATAGTATTAGCGCTGTCCTGCTCCATAACCTTGAAATACACTATATTAATGTAGAATAAGCCTTTCTGCAAAAGCAATTGACTTTTTTTCATATTGCATCTTAAATGTATGATTGTTTATATTTACTTTCTGTTGCAAAAACTTAGGTTTTGAAAATGTATTTAATGAAGACATGCCATCTATACATTTTTTTCTTTTAATTCATATAGAAAGGTTGATCATAGGTACAGAAATTGCAAGTAGATTTTTCCTTAGATATTTTTTAAATTTGGGAGATTGGTCTGTAGTGATTTTGAGTTCATTACAAATGTTCAACACTACTTTCAAATAAGCCTTCTCCTTAAAACGATTCATGAGCTTAAATGGATATAATGTGATGCTCAGTATTGTCAATGGCATCATAGCACTTACCGTGTTTCCCAGAAAATAAGACCCAGTCTTATATTTTGGGGGGCACCAAAAACGCATTAGGGCTTATTTTCGGGGAAACACGATATCAGGGTGATCAGCCTGGTCAGGCACTCCGTCCCCCATGTATGCACAAGATGCGGCGAGTGGGTGGGGGCCAAAGGTGTCTGGCAGCAGCTGTAGCCCGCCGGCCCCTTGGCGCAGTGCAGATAAGTCTGAGCACGGAGGCAGAGGCGAGGGAGGCAAGCAATCTGGATGTGCTGCGCAGTTGCCTGTCTCGTGGGAGGCTCGCAGGACAGCATCGGCAGGAGGCAGAGGCACGGGGGGAGGCAGGCGATCCGGACACACTGTGGGCCGCCTGCCCCAGCACAGCCACGGGTAAGCCAAGAGACCATAGGACAGAGTGGGCAGTGTGTCCGGATCGCATGCCTCCTCCCCATGGCTCTGCTTCCGCCTGCTGCTGGTGCCGCTGTGCAAGCCTCCCACGAGCACAGCGTGTCTGGATCGCCTGCCTCCCCCCGCCTCTGCCCTCAGACTTACTTGCGGCTGCGGCTGCTGCCGGACACCATCGGCCCCTGCACGCTTGCCGCTTCCTGTATTGGCCACGCCCACCCCCAGGCTTATTTTTGGGTAGGGCTAATATTAAGCGCACCCCAAAAAATCAGGCTAGGGCTTATTTTCTGTGTGGGTCTTATTTTCGGGGAAACATAGTATCAGTGTAGAAATAAGCTAAATAAAGGTCTATCTTTATAAACATAGAAATGGGAAAAAATAAGAACCAATTGAGCAAACCAATTGCAGAAGTAAAATATATAAATTAAACCAAGATTCTTACCCAGTAACTAAAACCTGCCCATTCGAGGAAAAAGCACAAGCCAGAACTGGGGCAGTATGTCCACTTAAAGTACATCTACATCTCAGGTCAAATCCTAAACATTGAAAGGTGAACAAATATTTAATGAAAATATTCTTTATCAAATTGCAACCTTGTCACTTTTGAATACAAAGTAAAATATACTGCACAATGCAGTATCTAGCTTGTGTTTTGTATTGTAAATCTGGCTGCTCTTTAATGTTCTAGCTTTGTATTCCACGAAAGCAATGAGAATAGGATAAAATGGACAGCTTTTTTAAAAATTCTATTTTCATAACAAAAGTTTCTGATCATTTCCCCCCCAAATGTGCTTTGGAAAATCTTTAGAGCCAATTTAGGAGCCAAAATGGGAAGAATTCAATCTGACAGAACCATACATCACTGGGTATTATTAATGAATTCATGCTAATGAATTCATATTCATATAAATGAATGAAAAATATCTTTTAACCCTCGTTCTAATATCAATCAAAATAAGGAACAATAAATAATTATATATGAAAAAGCTTCACACTCTCTTAAGAATGATTACTTTACCTTACTCTCTCTGTTGTTGGTGTTTTTATTGTTTTATTGCAGGATGCGTCATAGCGAAACCGCGCCCACCCCATTGCCGGCAATGGCAAAAAAGTCACGATACGTCGTGACACGTCACGTGACGTTGCGAGTTTGATACCCTTGCTTTATTGTAATATGTTGCTTTACTGTAATGTACCATCAATTATTTCCTTTTTTACTTTTTATACTTTTATAAACAATCCTTTTGTATTATCAAAAAGGATTATTCACTTGTTCAGTAAGATACTTCCTTTTTCTTTTGCCTCATGTATTTGTTTGTTGTTTGAGCAAGACCTAATCAAAAATCCAAGCAGTGGAAAGGCAAGTAATTTTTTTTAAAGAATAAGCATTTTTAAATTATTGATACCTGTAGAATCAGAAGATGAAATGAGCCAGATCTTACTTCTGCCATCCTGACCAGAAGATGCCATTCTGAAATAATCAGCATCTGGCTTATCTGAGAAAATAGATATATATTCAGAAATGCATGAGAAACACAACAAAATAAGGTTTTCTATTTTTTTCAATATCTGCTTCTAGTAAACTAAGCACAATTAGAGGTTTGCTGTGCAAAACTCAGAAATCTGGTGGACTGTATGTAATGCAAGTAGTCCTTGACTTATGACCAGAATTGTGACCAAAATTTCTGTTGCTAAGCAAGGCAGTTGATAAACGAGGAATGCCTGATTTTATTACCTTTTTTGCCACAGTTGTTAAATGAATAACCACAAATTTTGAGTGAATCATGTGGTCATTATGCAAATCCAAATTCCCCTATTGATTTTGCTTCTCCGAAGCCAGCTAGGAAGACCTCAAATGGCAATCACATGACTCTGGGATGCCGTAATCATTGTAAATACATGTCAGTTGCTAAGCGCCCAAATTTTGAGCACATGACTATGGGGAATCTGTGGCAGTTATTAAGTGCGAGGATTGATTATAAATCACTTTTTTCTCTCCCACTGTAACTTCAAATGGTTGCTAAACAAACAAATGGTTGTAAGTTGAGGACTACCTATATCTAATTTGTTTTGTGTTGTAAATCAGACAGTTCTTGAATTTTCCGGCTTTGTGTTCCACGAGAGCAATAAAAATATGCTAGAATGGAACGCTTTTTTCTATAATTACAATAGTTCTATATAGTGTCTCCAATCCACACACCTGTTTAATGTAACACAAGTAATCCCAAATAGGCAAAGATAAATGGACATCCCAAAGGTGCTTTTTCAGGAGGCAACTGTACTTTCTTGTTTTTCTTTGAAGATGTTTTGCTTCTCATCCAAGAAGCTTCTTCAGCTCTGACTGGATGGTGGGGAGTGAAAGGATTTATATTGCTTGCAGACAGCTGGTCATTTGCATTCTTTTAGAGAGTTGTTGGGGCCATTTGGAGATTTACTTGTGTCCTCAGGATCTCCTGAGTAGTGCAAATGTGTGTGGAGCTTTCTTGGATACAGGATGTTTTTCTACCCTGTGTCCCTTCACTATTGAAGACAGGTGCAGACTGTTGTGATGAGTCTGTGTTCTCTGAATCTCAAACTGAAGCACAAATGGTTCCTGTAGTCTGCAATGTTTCTGAAAATCCGTTCATACTCTCCCACCATTCGACTCCCCACCATCCAGTCAGAGCTGAAGAAGCTTCTTGGATGAGAAGCAAAACATCTTCAAAGAAAAACAAGAAAGTACAGTTGCCTCCTGAAAAAGCACCTTTGGGACAATCACACCTGGATGACTGAGAGTCTCCATAGACGATAAATGGAGATCTTTCATTCCAATTTTAACTATGGTAATTTAAAAATCATTGTATACATATTTTAGGAGGACTTCATTTTATATATGGATGTTAACATTTTCCCTACGATACTGGAATTTGAAATCATAAGACTAGCTGAACTGAGCATAGAATACTCAAGCAGAAGCCAATTAGCAATTCCAAAATCACGTTTATTAGGAAAAAATTAAAAAATGAAATTAATTGCTTTGAATTCGACATTTTCCATATGAAGAGAGATTAAAAGTAAAAGTTACTGTCCTTTTAAAGTATGTTCAGTGAAAATATATGTTCGTTTCCTTGAATTACTTATAAAGTAAAAAAAAATGAGATAAAATCAAATAAAAATAATAAATAATTTCACATAATTTTAATTGCAGCCAAAATTCTCTTCTACTTCAAGCACAATTCTTTAAAGGGAAAGAAGAGTATGATAAACTTTTTACACAGTACAGTCCTCTGCATATATACTAAGAATTATACTAAGAATTATACTAAGTATACTAAGTCCTCTGCATAGTATACTAAGAATATACTACCGTAAGTCCTACTGTGATCAGTAGAGCTTACCCCCACAAAATGTCTTTAAGATCACAGTCTTACGTGCCATACATTTGCAAAAGAGATAGATCACTGGGCAGGAAATATTACTTAAGAAAAAAAATCTGGCTTTAAATTCATTGCAACAGAATTAAATTAAAGAGAAACTTCAAAAAGAATTTATATTCATCAGTTATAGATCCTAAGGACAAGAATACAAGTAAAAGTTAAGTCTGGAACTGACAAAATATTAAAAGGATTTATTTAAATAGTAAATTATCTAACCAGAATGTGGCCTTGAAGAAAAATCACAGCAGGTAACACCAAGATCGTGAGCTTTTTCATTATGTAAGCACTTCATTTTGTCATCCCAGAAAGTTAGATCTCCACAGGATGATCCCATCACAAAGAAACGTCCATTAGGAGCAAATGCACAAGCTACCAATGATCCATCTTTAACGCTACCAGATCTAAAAAGCAAGCATAAAGGAATTTGGTAGCTAAAACCATGTTACGTGTTTGGAAAAAAAAAAGAAATTAAATCTAAAAGGAGAATATTTCAAAGTAATCTTTGATATAACAAACAGAGCAATGTCAAAGCTGTCTACAAATGTACTATAACATTTTAAATTGTGTAATTATAAAATTTCAAGACTTATTGTTCATCACTTGTCAAGACCAGGGCTATATTTTAAAGGCCTCGTTGACATTTAGGGAACTACTTATATTCCTTCTTTTTTGCTGCATTTTATATTAAGTGTAAATTCTAAACTATGTTAAATCTTAATTATAATTATTTAGAGCAAGCAAGAATCATTAACTTAGTTTGTAATTGTTTTATTCTAAGATATGCCAGGATTCAGATAATAGGCAAGTAGCTATTAATCTTCATGTAAACAAAAACTTCAGAACAGGATATTGCAGTTGCATTAAAGGAAAAGAGAGCTAGAGCCACAGTTTAGCATTATGTCCAGTGAGTTTACTGATTCACATGAATACGGCAGAAGAAAATTGATCATTCTTATTGAGATATCTTACGCCTAAAATAATAATTATGCCTACATAAACTTGCATTGTGTCATTCTTGATAGAGTGGTTTTAAACATGATACTGTACAGGACATGTTAATTAAAAAAAAAAGCAGAAACAAAACTTTCCTGCAATACTTGAATTTCAAGAACTCTCTTCAATCCATTGAAGTCCAAGGATCGTTTGCCCTGACTTTCATAGAAGCAGTCCTAACTTTATCACTAAATGAGACAGCCTGATCAGCTGTCTGATCTAAAATTCCCTTGAGGTCTGGTTCAAAGGGCTAACACAGCCAGTTTTGGTCAACACGATGTAAAAAAGATGTTGAGACTCTTTAGAAAGAGTACAGAGAAGAGCAACAAAGTTGATTAGGGGACTGGATGCTAAAACATATAAGGAACGATTGCTGGGATTGGGTATGTCTAGTTTAACGAAGAGAAGGATGAGGGGGGACATGATAGCAGTGTTCCAATATCTCAGGGGTTGCCACAAAGAAGAGGGAGTCAAGCTATTTTCCAAAGCGCCTGAAGGCACGACAAGAAGCAACGGATGGAAACTAATCAAGAAGAGAAGCAACCTAGAACTAAGGAGAAACTTCCTGACAGTCAGAACAATTAACCAGTGGAACAACCTGCCTCCAGAAGCGGTGAATGCGCCAACACTGGAAGTTTTTAAGAAGAGACTGGCCAGCCATTTGTCCGAAATGGTATAGGGTTTCCTGCCTGAGCAGGGGGTTGGACTAGATGACCTCCAAGGTCCCTTCCAACTTTATTATTATTATTATTATTATTATTATTATTATTATTATTATTATTATTATTATTATTATTATTATTATTATTATTATTATTATTATTGGAGTAGAAATGGGAATGCAACTTCTTCCATTATAGTAAGCATAAGCAAATAGACTTAATATTTCTGAAAAAAGTATTTCTAATTGCCTCAGATTTGATATACTCACCGAAACAATTTTAGGGTCTGAACATTCCACATATTTACACTTCCATCAGCTGCTCCTGAAATTAAGTATGTAGAATCAGGAGAAAATCGACAAATTCTTAGAGGGTTTCTACAGGGATGCTCCAACACTGCCTGTTTCAACCCATCTTGAGTATTCCACAAAATTGTGTTGCCATCCGTAGAACATGAAGCCAAAATATGCCCCGAAGGAGAGAAGCAACAGCAATGGACAGCATAAGTGTGGCCTTTCAGGGGTGAGTAAGGAACCTCACTAAAATTGTTTAACGAATACAGACGGACCGTTTTGTCCAAGGAACATGTAGCCAAATAGGAAGAAGAGAAGGCACAATAGTTGACATCATCATTGTGGTCTGCCAAAGTGCAAATTAATTTAACCATTTGGTGATATAAAGTTACCTGAAATAAAGAGAAACAAAAATCAAGTTGATTCTTAATTTCTAGATTAAGTTACACTCCATTGAACAGTGTACTAAGAAACCTGATCTATCATTACCAAAATATTGGTCCTCACAAAAAAACGCTTTCTCACTAGTTTCAATCAGAGTAAAGGTGAAAAGCTAAACCCAAAATAATAACCCATAATTTATGGATGATATTATATACTTATAGAGAGACCTTACCTCCACTATTCTTTATTTTAGAAAGCTGCCCTTTAAATTTATTTGCTTGGTTTTGCTCTTGAATTATCCTTTGTAAAGCAACATTTTAAACATCAACAATTAACATTTTTTTCTCCTTATAAAGCTCTTTCAGATTTGCCCCTTTTTCAGGTTTCTCCTTTACTTTTTTCGAGAACATAAGGTCGCTGTAGGTACCTTATAATCAGGCACACTGGAAATACCTACTTGGATTTTGATTTACAGAGGCTGGCAGCTTCCAACCTCAGAGTCACCTGCAACGTCGGAATCGCTTTCTGAACTCCCTGACACTTAACTCTGTCTGCTTCATGTTCGAGAGACGTACATTGAAACGAACATTTTCTTTT